CGGCCAGCGCTCGGCAGGCCAGCCCCTGTCGCACGCCAACAGGTACCTCGAATGTATCCTCTGCTGCTCCATCTTCCATGTTGCCGCCGGAAGCCTCGCCCTAGGCTGAGGCCTACTGAACAGCGCACTAAAATTGAGCTACGCCATCAAATCCAGCAGGACGACTTGACACCCACTAGTTTCCCCCCATCTCCTTCAGAAATGAGTTCTCCGTAAGGCAGCCTTGGCAGTACCCAAGGCCTGGGAAGGGAACCTTGCGTTATGCAGCAAGGGTGCCTCGTTTCCTTCTGACTGGTAAAAAAGAACAAAAGCAAAGAACCCAAAAAAAAGCCTTTTCCTTCACCCCCAAGCTCTCACCCCCCTTCTCCCACTCCCCTCAAATCTTTCGACCGCGCACGCCCTCACCCCCTGGACGATGCCCATGCTTTGACCCTGGACCAAGCGTTCCATGGATCTCTACCTCCAGTCAGGTGGCTCTCGAGATCAACCTCCTAGCCATTACTCATGTCACCGCCTCCCTGAGATCTTTGGAGCCCTAGCACGGTGAATCCGTAGCCTTTCTACTAACATGGCGAGTACGAGCACTTGGCCTCACACCGGTTGTGATCCCCGGCATATGGCCCGCCGCCCATGCTCCATATGACGGCTTTATTGCTTATTACCCTAATGGGCCTTGTTTGATAATTTGGATGTGAACTCTATGGGCCGGGCGTGCAAGGGTACTAGTTGCTTGCTCTTGATTCTTTCATATAGTATATGACCTGGCCGGTGTCCACTTCAGTCTTGTTGGCACAAACACTCCCTCTTCTTTTCTGCCCAAGAGACAGACCGTCATACCTTGCTCTCGTGTATACATAAACATAGCCTCCGTGACTACTTCTCCTCTAGTCAAGACACCGCAATACTTCCTCTTCATCTTTGCCTTCCTCCTACTGTCCCTCCACGGCATCACCATTTAGACACACAAGTGCTACCGCCTCTTATCTGGACTTTTTACTCGGTTTCACCTGTTCTCCTTTACAACCTGGGGACGGACTAGAGCAGCTCTTCCTACCTCAGCATTCACCACTGTCCTTCCAGACGCCATCACTTCAACCAAAGGACTTCACACCACAGCAAGTCGGGGTTTATCTCGTTGCTGAGCCGTTATTGAATGGGGGTTTGCGTACTGGTATAGGGCTTCAACTACAGGACTCGCAGTCTTGCTTGTCAAAATGAGAAGATACGGTTCAATTGCTCCCTCCGTCGGGAGCGAGGCCAAGGCCACTCCTCCCTTCCCCGCAAAACAGATGTTTGTTCTGGGTAAGTTTTTCTAACCTCGCACGGACGGCTGCCTTGGTCGGCTTTTCTCACAATTCTTGTAGCCTGCTGCCGGATATGCGAGCCAATTGCTTTCATGTCCATCTTCCCCTACATCTACTACATGATTGAGGACTTCCACATCACGGATGACGCAAGCAAGATCTCGGTGTATGCTGGCATGGTCACCTCGGCCTTCACTCTGGCGGAATTCGCGACTGGTGTTCTCTGGGGGAAGCTCAGCGACAAGATTGGTCGCAAGCCGGTTCTGCTCTCTGGTCTCGTTGGAACGGCAATCAGCGTCCTGATCTTTGGTTTTGCTCCTAACCTCCCGGTTGCGCTCCTTGCTCGAGCTCTTGGCGGACTTCTCAATGGGTATGTGCGCGCGCGGCATGAGACGACGGTGGAATGAGGCTGATTGGAAATCGCATAGAAATATCGGTGTGTTGCAGACGACGGTGGCGGAGTTGGTCACGGTCAAGGAACACCAGCGTAGGCCTCCCATCCCACCCTCCTTCTTGCGAAGGGCGAACCTTGAATTTTGACTGACTTTTCCAAACAGCCCGAGCTTACACAATTATGCCAATGGTCTGGTGTATTGGGTAAGTGGCCACCCCGCAAGATTTGAGGCGTTCTTAATCGCTGACTAGCATCGCAATAGTTCAATTATAGGCCCGATGATTGGAGGCGCTCTAGCCCGTCCTTGCATCAGCTATCCGGAAATCTTCGCCCGCGGAACCATCTGGGACCGCTACCCCTACCTCCTGCCTAACCTGTTCAGTGCATTTATGGTGTTGATCGGAGTCGTGGTGGGCATCCTGTTTCTCGAGGAGACGCATGCCATGAAGAAGAACGAAAAGGATCGCGGCAGGCAAGTGGGAGATTACATCAGTGCTAAGCTCTCCGCTCTCGGCCCATTCAATTCGGGGGATCGTGCGCCAGAGAAGCAGAGCCTTATCCGCAGCTCATGGAACAGCGTCCAGGATGAAGAATTCGATGAAAGCCTGCCCGTCTACCGGAGTCAAGATAGCTCGCCTCGGCTGTCACCTCAAGAAGACCCAGAACTCGCTGTACCTGCTCCCATCAGTGGGCCTGGTACACCTGGTTTCAAGACGTTCACCAAGCCGGTCATCATGAACATCATCTCCTACGGCATTCTTGCTTTGTGAGTAGAGCTTAGATATCTGTCTTTCGGTGGAGGAGGAAAATGACAAACTAACCATCATCTATAGCCACACAATGACATTCGATCAGCTTCTCCCCGTCTTTCTCAGTACCGCTCCGCCCAAGCACCCGGTCAATGAGCTCCCATTCAAGTTTGTCGACGGATTTGGTCTGGAAACGAAGACAATCGGAGTGATCATGTCTATCCAGGGCATTTACTCCCTTTTCTCGAACTACGTCATTGTCGCGCCAATTACTCGAAAATTGGGTTCCCTTCGATTGTTCCGAATTCTCGCTCTGTCGTACTTTGCACTGTACTTTGTGACGCCCTATCTTGTTCTCGTCCCGGAGAAATTCAGAATGCCAGCGATTTATCTTCTGGTTATCTGGAAGTGCACTTTCTCGACCATGGCCTACCCCAGCAACGCCATTCTCCTTGCCAACTCAGCACCATCGAAGCAAGTTCTCGGCACAATCAACGGGATCGCGGCCTCGACAGCAAGCTTGTGCCGAGCGCTGGGTCCGACACTTTCCGGCTTGTTGTACGCTCTTGGACTACGGACCGGGTACTCTGGCTTGGCTTGGTGGTTCAGCGCCATTGTCAGTATGGTCGGAGCCTACTTGAGCTTGCAGATCACCGAGGGCGGCGGACACCTGGACGCAAAGGTCGACGTGTTGGAGGCGCTGGAGGATGAGCCACTGCTGGTCGACTACGACGACGACGACTTCCAACCCTCAAACTCGGCCTAAGCGGGCAGGCTGGCCCGGGCCACGGCAGTTTCACCTGATGCGTCACGAATTTTCTCGGTCCCTCTTCTCACAATAAAACAATACCCACTTGACTTAAACGGCGAACATTTTATGGATTGGTTTTGAAGCGGCACGTTTGCCCTTTCCTACATTCATGTAGCATGGACTTTTTTCCCCCATGGAATGGGATTTCTTTTGGGGTTTTCTCTTTTCACTCTTATATAGACAAGCGCACGTCACCCTCGGACGGAACATTCTCACGGCATGCGGCGGCGCAACAAAACATGAGGGATATGGTTTTTTCTTTTTTGGCATATTTGGAATTTTCTATTTTGGTTCATTTGATCTTACTTAGCTTGTTTCTCTTACTCCCCTTTAATTCGAAGGCGGGGCCTGTTTTTTTCTTTCTCCTGTCTTGCGTTTCACAGCATGGGCGTTTCAACCCCCTGAGAGCCAACTGGATTGGTCATCGGGGAGCATTTGGAACTAGATATGGGTTTTGGGTCAGCTCGGAAGCGGTGGAATAAAGAAAAACATCTTGTTGCGCATTCTTCATGTGGGCGAATTTTCGTCCTGGTAAACGAAGGGGTTGGTTTTTGGGATTTCTGATATAGGTTTTAAGATTGGCCAAGATACTGACTACGCGGTCGGGGATACTTGGCTATTAATACAGGCGATTAAGCAAAGCAATCCATCTTGAGTGCCTGTTTGAAAAATAGTGAAGTAACGGATGACTTGTAGAGATCATTTGGGCCTATCACTGTTCCATATGTCCGTCCATTTCCCGAGATGCTCCAAATCATAAACGGGACTGGTCCATGGGAAGACAACAGCAATAACCAAGTCTAACTAGACGGGAACGAAGGCAGATTCCGCGAATCCAACGGCGATTGACGTACTGGTTGATGTGTGGAATATCAAGATCAATCTACTTACGTAGCCAAATCAAGTAGGTCCTAATCATTACCGGTAGCTCAATCTTGGGAGCTAACTTAGCGGGCGACCGATAAGGCAGCAGTTGCACCGTTGGATTGGTCATCGCATGCGTTGGTTGGCTCCCCCTCAACGATATCAGCTTGGATCTCTGAAATCTGCTGCCGAGGCTAGACGAGCTGCTGATAGGCCAATGACAGTTAAACCCCAGGGCCGGCCCTCTGCAGACTCGCTCCTGCTGGTGTGCGGGGGCGGCGCATCGGCTCCATCTTCTTATCAGCAAAGCTGGACCCCCAACCTGCTGTGCTCTGTAAGTACCAACTGCAGGACTCCGTGCCGGCCTGCCCAGAGGACTGGTCTTGCCCATCCATGTCCGTCCTGCCCTGCACCTGACCCGGACCACGATCTTCACGCAAGCAACCAACCGGGTGAGGCTCAAACCAAGCAGCAGAGACTCCCGGATCGCGTGCAGCCCGCGGACCTTTACCAGCTGTGTTAAGAGCCCTGCCCCAGAGCGCATCGTCATTGTCATGATTATTTTGCGACCCAGGCTGCCTTCTAGCCCGCTCACCGATCGTGCTGCATCACCGAGCAGCAGCACAATGGCATATTGGCAAAGCGCTGTGGCTCCACGATAGAATTGTATCCCAACTGCCGGCTCATACGTACACCGGCCCAAGTACCTTATTCATTGTTCTGTGCCCGAATTGATGTGAGTTGGGAGCCGAGCCCGCCCGGCCTTTTTCGGCGGCCTCTTGTGTGCGCGCGCGTGTGTGTGTCTATGTGCTGACGCCATCCGGCCAGACCAACCCCAGCATACTCGAATCCCCTCATCGCCTATCCGCGATCACACTATGCCTTCGCATGGCCCTCCTTCGCCAAATGTGCAGCCGGCCAAGCGCCAGAGACAGTCCTCCTTTGATGATCCCTCACCGCGCGATGGGCAGACGAGCCCGTCCGACCAGCTGAGCGAAGCCGCGAGCGCCGGCGCCGGCTCCCAGGCGGCCAAGAGCGGGCAGAGCAGCAACTTCCGCAATGTGAGCGCATGCAACCGCTGCAGGTTGCGCAAGAACCGTTGCGACCAGAGACTGCCGAGTTGTGCGAGCTGCGCCAAAGCTGGTGTCGCATGCGTCGGGTACGACCCGATCACGAAGAAGGAGATTCCTCGCAGGTATGCTTCATTCAGGACGGCCGGGACATGCGGTGGAGGGGGAAATCTTGGATGAAGAATAAATTGCTGACGTATTTCGTTTTCTAACTAGTTATGTGTATTACCTCGAAACCCGTGTCGAACAGCTCGAAAACCTTCTCAAGTATCACGATATTTCCTTCCCTCCAGCCGAGAGCCTGGATACATGCTCCCGTCCCTCCAACGATACGACTCGCGCATCGACTGCCGAGAAGAAACAGATTAGCAACCCAGTGGAACTGGAAAACCGGGTGCTCTCAAATGCTCGCAATCATTCTGTCGATACGCTCAACGCAAAGAAGTCGGAGCAGAGCCCGGCCATGCTCAATATCGTCAGCCCTTCAAAACCTCGGTCACTGGCATCCACATCCGGTGTGTCATTCGCCCGAGTTGTTTTTGCCGCCGTGCAGTATTCGGTGGCAGACCAGAATGGATCCTCGGATCGCCCCGGGACTCGTCAACCCAGCATAGGAGGTCACACGTCGATGCGCGATTCCTTCTTCGGCCTACATACGAAACCTACCATCAAGCCCGCTCCATTCCCCAGTCGCGAAGTTGGACTCCGGCTTGTCACACTGTACTTTGAACACGCCAACCCCCAGATCCCCATCTTACACCGGGGCGAATTCATGAACATGTTTGAGCGAGCGTACGCCAATCCTGCCGAGGTGTGTGGCGCGAGGGAATCGTACATGCTCAACATGGTGTTTGCCATTGGGTGTGGAGTTATCGTCGGAGAGCCGGTGAAAACCGAGGCTTCGGGGGATGGCCCAAGCAAGGGCCAGTCGCAACCCGAGGAGTACCATGCGAGTGCCATTGTTCACCTGGAGTCGTGTCTGAGTAACAGCGGAGGGGGATTGGAGGTTCTACAGGCTGTGCTTCTCCTCGCTAACTTCGCACTCCTTCGTCCGGTGCCTCCGGGACTGTGGTAAGTTGCACTTTGTTCCCTTGCTCAATCCTCTTGTCTCCGTTTCTCTTTTTGCCCTTTCTGGAAATAGATTGCTAAGTACTTAACACAGGTACATCATTGGTGTTGCTGTACGGTTAGCCGTGGACCTTGGTCTGCACCATGAAGACAGCGGCGACTCAGACACTTTCGGAGACGTCTCCGAAGCCGAACAAAGCAATGAAAACCGTCCGCGAGAGGGCAGTGCGCAGGAGCGCGGACGGCGACTCTGGCTACGCGACATGAGGCGGAGGCTGTGGTGGTGCACCTACTCTTTTGATCGACTTGTCAGTACCTGTGTTGGTCGACCTTTTGGAGTCAGCGATCAGGTCATTACTATGGAGCTTCCTTCACTGCTAGACGATGATCACATCACGCCAGCCGGCATAATCGAGCCCTCACCAAATGAGCGGCGCCCAAGCTACAAGCACGTAGCACACCACTACTTCCGACTTCGCATGCTGCAGTCTGAGATTCTACAAGTACTTCAATACAACCAAACACAGATAGCGAGGGCGCATAGCACGGGGATAGTATACCCGGAAATGCACACCACTCATCTGCCCTCGCCGTTCTTGGTGAAGTTTGAATCATACAGATCCTGGCGGCGGAGTATTGATGAGAGGCTTCTGAATTGGAAGTTGTCAGCACCCACGAGGCATGAAACTGGTGTGGCCTTTTCTACGGAGTTTTTAGAGCTCAACTATTGGCAAGCGATAATCTTGCTCTACAGGCAAAGTTTGAGTGTTCCCGCCATGTTCGAGGGAGAATATAACACTTCAAACGAGGTAGACAGCCCTCGAGGATTTACCACGACCGAGCTGCGAGAAGATGAAGACAGGATATATATCAAGGTGGCGGAGGCAGGACAGAAGATTTTACGCATATACCGCCAACTCCATCTCAGTGGCCTCGTTAGTTACACATACCTCTCTACCCATCACCTGTTCACAGCCGGCATATCATATCTCTACGCTATTTGGCACTCGCCCTTGGTACGAAGTCGATTGGTACGTGCACAACACTAACGAAACCCCAGTTTCTGCCTTCTTTCTGTTTTGTTTTTTTCCTGGTAATCAGTCTAACTTGCTTTCTAGACGATGGACGAGGTAGACTTCACTGTTCTTGCTGCCAAGTCTGTGTTTACAGACATGATCGATAAATGCCCCCCAGCTGAGACTTGCCGTGATGCATTTGACCGGACTGCCAGAGCAACAATAAAAATGGCCAATGCGAACGGCGGCTTTGGCAACCTCTCTGATCCGCAAATCCAGAGGACACAGTCCAACAACTGGGGCTCAACCTCGGATACTTCGGGGCATCATCCGGCACGCCACAGAAGCCGGCCATCGGATCAGCAGCAGTTCCAGTTTGATCTGTCCCTTTCGGATAACCTATCATCACCCACACTCTCCATAGCTGGCGATGTATCACGCCCGTCACCGCCACTATCCGTGAACAAGAACTTTGAGACAGACTACGGACGCAGCGGACAGAGCCCGGCGGATCGTATAACAGCAAACCGAGAAGTCCCTGGCCCCTCCATGGCTTCTGGGGGACGTCGCTTAGAACCGATCGCAAACACTTCAGGCTCCGGCAACCACACCATGAGCCAACAATTTGGCCTCCAAGGCACCATGGACTATCCCGACGCCCATTCGATGGACTTTCTCCAGGATCTCGGTGCTAGGAACGGAGCGTTTGGCCACGTGGATCAGAACCAGGTTGATCTAGGGTTCGGCCTGAACTGGGAGGTACCCAACGAGTACGGCGAGGGACAGCAGCAGATGAATCCCTTTGATACCTTCTTCTTCGGCGGGCAGCAGGGCGGGAATAGTAACGGTGGAGGTATGGGCATGTGAGATCCAGCGTCTCTTACTAGAGGCGGCCGGACTCGTTCAGGAGAGCGAGTTCAACGCAAGAAAAGGAACTTGTTTTTGGCGTGTTTCTTGGGTGGGAAATTATTTGGCCCACCCCGTGATGATCTTTCGAGTAGGATATATATATATATGTTAGGATGGCAGGAAAAAGTAACAAGATACCCTTGTTTCGGCGGCTACATGTCAAGAAATGAATATAGAGCTATAGTTTACGCTCTGCTACGGGAGTTTTCATTTTCAATGGGACGGCAGATTTTTGGGCGAAATACGAGGATTATAGAGACGAGACACTTCACAGCTGGTGACAATTTCGTAGGATAGATGAAGATGGTAAGAAAAAGAGATACAACAATGTCAGAATCACATTTATCGTTTCTATGAAATGGTATTATCCCCATGAATATATCAAAACGCCTTTGTGGTCATATCCAATGATCTGTATTTGTCGTTGTTCCGTCACACATATATCTCTTCATCTAATTGCTCTGCGCAGAAACATGATTATAACCTTGTCGATATACTTAATAGAGAAAGCTACAGCTGGAAGGGTACTGGATCAATCAATGGAGTAGCTTGGGCTCCGGCGTCTCCTGTCATAGCTGCGCTCTCTCCTACGCCTGGGAGGGGTGCTGCTCTCCTCGATGACGACCACCTCGTCGTCCTCCGAGTCAGACTCCGAGTCCGAGTCGGAGTCCGTCAGCGTCTGGCGTGACGACGGGGCGGCATCCACGATGATGGGCTCCCTCGCGTGGGGGGGAGGAGGCGGCGGCGGGACGTGAACCCGCTCGTAGGTCCGCACCTCGTACGAGTCGGCGCTGACTATGCTGGGACCGCCCGGGCGGCGCTTCGGCGAGCGGGTGTGGCGGGAGGTGCGGCGTGAGGAGTGCGAGGCGCGCGACGCTGTGCGGCGGACTCGCACCTCGACCATTGACCCTTGCGACTTGGAGAAGATTGGGGGCCCGAAGCCGAGGGCCGAGTAGCAGATGAAGAGGAGGAGGAGGAAGCCCGCCACGGAGCCGAGGACGATTCCCGCGATTACCCCCGGGTTGAGGGAGGTGTAGAGGCCGCCGTAGGTCGAGGGGATGACCTTGAAGTTGTCGTTGTCGTCGCGCTCGGCTAGGACATCGTTGGCGGCTGCGACGAGGGCCGCGGCCGTGGTTTCGATTTGTATAGCCGGCATCCTTTGCCCGGCGGGAGGGGCAGAAGGGTGCTCTGCTGGGGTTCGGGGTGTTGTATGATGTTATGTCTGTGTCAATCGTCGATAAGGCGTGTGCAGCTCGAGCGCAAGGAACGGGTTGCCCAGGTTGATGGAGCTCTGTCTGCTGCAAGGGCGAATGCAACGGGAAGCTAGCAGGAGGTAGGCATGAATATCGTATAACGGTTGTAGCTGCGGATCAGGTCGTGATGTGGCTTTCCACTGGCCGGCAGCCTCGAAAGCACAGCAAAGGGGATACCTGCATGCAGATGGAGAGTGGTTGGATGGAGGGCACCATGAGGATGCCATCCCTCACCTGCGCATGCTAAAGCGGAGCTACTGGGCTGCGGGGCAACGGCGAGCAGCCCACAACACAGCCAAATAAGGTCCCCTGGTCATTTCTGGTGCGCTTCCTCCCGCCTCCGCTCCCGTCTGCCTTCCCGCCTTGAGCTTTCTACCTACCTGCAATGTAATAGAAGGACATCAGACATGTGCATTGACTACCTAACGTGATAATCACGTATTAAAAATCAAAGCATCTACGAATTCCAGTGATGACTATTTCGTCTCAGTTTAGTCGCCTGTATCCCAGCGGCACTTTAGCTTTTGATCTAGCAGTAATTAAACGCCTATCGAAATGCACTGGTCCTTGACCTCACCAAGAATAGAGGCACCTTTCGGCTTGGTTGCGTTTGCACGGCCACTCGGATTTAATGAACATGGAGATCGAACCGGAAGACCAAAGCGGCATTTCTCAAGCTCTGTTATATTAAATCCCCCAGTCCCTGGCGATTCGGGAGCGACAGCCGACTTACGTTGACAAGGCTAAGTCTATCACATCGCACCGCGCAATGAGAAGTTGCTCCTTGTAGTGTTTAAAGATCCAAGGCATAATGAAAGAGAATGCGGCCGCAGTCCCCTCGTGATCCTGATACCACCACCATCAAAGTAGTTCTGACAAAATTACGGAATGTGATGATTAGGCTGACGGCGATCGATGGCGGGCCTCCCTTGATTGGACAATGCTGCTGCGCTAATACCGCCTCGTTACTGTTCGTATACGCACGTTGGAGAGGCTAAGCATCGAATTGCCAGTCGTCCATCCACGCCAGCATTCCTCAGCCTCAATGAGATTGCATCAGAGCTCGTCGCTGTCTCAGACAAAAGCACCATAAGCTCAAGCAGCCTCGGGGACCACTCCCGAATTACGTGGACAACCCTGTGCTTTAAAGCCAGTCAGCCATCTATCAATCACAGACAACCCGGCTAATGTAGGGCGTCACCATCGTTTTAGAATCGTATTTCGCAGGTGACAACGGCACTAACTCGGAGTTTCAAGCAAATATGAAAGAGAGTCTAGACTCCGGTTCTCCTCGCGATAGCGATGAACCGGGAGAGGTCGAGGTCGGCCAGATCAAGCGCAAGCCCCGACCCTGCAAAGGCCACACCAAATCCAGGAGGGGATGCTTCAATTGCAAAAGGAGAAGGGTCAAGTGCCCAGAGACTCTGCCCCGATGTAACAACTGCGTTCGCCTTGGCCTGAGCTGCACCTATCCTCCCGAGGGGGGCCTGGTGCAAGCGTCCCGGCCCTCACACACGTCCAGCCCAATGGCAATGCCGCTGTCGTCGTCGCCAACACGCTTTACTATCGAGGATCTGAGGTTCTTCCATCACTTTCTGTTCGCTGCATATCCACCCCTACCGATCGGCGGAAAAGAGATCTGGAGAGACATGGCTGCGCTCTCTCATGGCGTAAGTCCACCCACCCAGCACTAGGGATCAGCATCAACCTCCTGTATGTTTTACCGGGCTAAGATCATCGGTAGTTTGATTACCTTGTCCATGCAGTTCTCGGCCTGGCGGCTTCCCACCTGACCCTGGCAAGCCGGAACGAGATCGATTACTCGGCGCACGCACTTTCGCATCGTGTCCAGGCCATCAATTCTCTAAATACTGCTCTCAGCAAGCCATGCATCTCAAAGGCGGAGGGCGATGCTCGGTTTGCAACACTAATGGCACTTACATTCCAGTCCTCCTATATGCCTGACGGCATGGTTGATTTTCTTGCCATGATACGAGGATGTACGGTGGTTCCCGGGACGGGGATGCCCTCATTCAGCGAATCTGTATTTCAAGGATTCAGCGCCGAAGCACATCAGCAGTCTATCATTGAGATGAACGAGGACCGGCCAGAGGCAAAGGATCAGAGGTTGGCTAGTTTCGCTATCGATGGCCTCAAGTCATTGTATGCCCTACGGCCATTTTGCCCAGAGGGCAGCCTGGAGGGAACATATCTGGATGCTCTGGAAGGCGTATTAGAACTCACTATCAAGTCACCCCTTGAAGGTAAGTTTCGTCTCGGTTGCTTTTATTCCAATCCGCCCCTCGAGAGCGCATTCCGAGGCTCACTTCTGCACAGCATTCACCTCGCTCTGTTACATGTACAACATCTTCAACGGCGTCGACCACGAGAACTTCACCAGCTTCATCGATCCCTCCAACACGGTCCCCCAGATCCTCCTGGCGCACTTCTTCCTCATCGAGACCAAGATCGGCCTGCTGACGCTCCAGGCCATCATCGAAAGCTTCCCATTCAGAGGCCTGATAGTCGCCTCCTGGGTCCACAACGTCGCGCGCGCGCTCCCCGAAGAATTCCATCGCTACATGGACTGGCCCTTGTCGGAGGCTGCCTCCATCGACGTTTGGATGACGCCAAACATGCTCTCGGCTCGATGATATCACCTCCGTAATCCTTGGGGGGTTGAACCAAACCCCCTCGCTTCTCATAAAACCGTGGAGTCTGGGATGGCTCCACCCCGTGGCTGAAACTTGGTTCTTGAACTGTTCGACGTAAATCCGTTCGTTGCCTTAAATAAACCTTGGGGAGTTCGTCTCAGGTTGCGCATTGAAGTGATACACCCAGGACCCACCGAATTTGGTTGTGGGGTTGCATCACAGCCCAACTTTAAGTCTCGGATGGAGATGGATCTGCAACCCTATTTATGCGCTGCACCCCTCCGACAGATCTATCATAGATATTGATCGAGCCGATATGCCCGGGGTGTCGATTGCAGACTTAGCCGCTCCCCGGGCCCTTGGCAACGAGGAAAAGAATACTCAGGCTCTCACACCTTAGGCCAAAACATGCACAGGACAAGAGAAGCGGATGGCAAAAGAACCTAATGAAAGCTCTTAGGTCTATCATTTCAGATCAATCATCTAAATATGCTCATAATTTAAACCATTAACGGGTATCGTAGTCCAGGAAGGAAAAGGTAAGCCTGGGGGGAAGCGCTCGGTCCAGCGAGCCGAGAGATAGAAGGGTAAACAGTACAGATGGAAGAGAAGAGCCACATTTATAATAAAAGAATAAACTCCACCAAGGCATGATAAGGCTGGTTAGTTCTCGCATATCGTCATTCGTTGGAAACCACCCTTAAGATGCAAGACAGTCCTTCCATTCGTAAAATATAACAGCGGGGTAGAAAAGACATTGGAGGGAAAGAAAAGAAGGCTGAGGGTGTTGATACATTTAGTCGTCAGCAATAGGATGCCATTAGTATATTTTGATTGGGAGAAAAGGAAAAGGTGCCGAGTAGTGGTTTAACCGAGGAACACCAGTTTCACGGCGCGAATGTAGGAATATATTAGGAAAAGTGCCGCTGAGGCTAGTGTCGCAGAAGATGTCATGACTGAGCATGAAGCTTCTGTGAGATTTGTTGAGGGATTGGAGGCAACGCGCATGTTGGGGGCGGAGCCGGTGGTGGTCCATCCGCCAACTGCGGCATACTGCGCCGGTTTTGTAGGGCCAGGGCTTTGGCCTCGGCCTTGATGTGGGAAGGAGTTGGAACAGGAGGAAGGGGGATGGTAGGGGGAGGCGCAGGAGGTTCGGAAATGGATTCAGGTTTACCAAACGCTGGCACAAATGGTAGCATGCTAGACCTCTTGGCCACTCGCGATGGCAGAGACGCAAAAGCGCCCCCTCGTTGATGCCTATCAAATGTGGACAGAGAAGGTTCCATCTCAAATGACCGGAGAGGGGCTGACCGGAGGCTGCGCATTCGGTTCGGTTCGACTGAAGCATCTGTGCCGTAGAAAGATTCACGTGGCTTGCCGAGTGATCCTAAGCTAGCGAGTCTGCGTGGGCCGCTAGGGGGTTTCGCATTCCGGGGCGGTTTCTGTAGTTTGAACTCGGCGTCTGATGGTACAGGCTTGGTGGGATCGAATTCTAGCACCTGGCCGTCGAGAACCACAGAGCCTCGCTCTGATTGGGAAGGTGCGATCTCTACTTGATCAAACGTTTCTCGTTGGGAAGAAAGAGGTTGGTCCTCAACCATGGACAAGGGGCGAGAAACCCGCGACGTTGTAGGTGGTCTGCGGAATGGTATCCTCAACATCATCTCAACATCTCGCGGAGTGGTAGACGGGCTTCCAGACTCAAATGTCGAGATCCTAGTCGAGAACCTGCGGCTGGAAGGCACGCTGAAATTGGGAGCCGGGCTCCCAGCTGATAGAGGTCCAATACTATCAGTAGGCGAGAACGTCGTAGATAGAGGTCTCTGCCCAGGCTGCCCGCCTTTTACTTCAGCAAAAGGTACGGGTTGGAGGGACTGCCTTCGGTCCGCAATTGCGGATCCGTTGAACCGAATCCTCGTCTCGGTGGTGTTGGTGTCGAGGGTATAATGGCCTATGTCTTCCAGTCCTGAAGGGAAAGAATCCACGGTGGGAGAGCAGGCTGGCGATGAAGAGGTGGTAGAAGTGACCATTGTTCGCTGACCTGATGATACATATGAAAGACGATTGGAGCTATTTCTGAGACTCTCGAGTTGTTGACCATCATGGGAGATGACGCTGTTAGTGGTAGAAAAATCATCAATGGACCGGTCACGACCATTATCCGACATGGCAAATGAGATAACACTGGCTCGATTATCGGAGACGTTCTGTTCCCACGAATAGTCAGATTGGCATACAGCGCCGCGATTCTTGTAGAGCTCGGGGTCCCTTACAACAAGCGTTCGCTGACTCGCTCGTTCCCGAAGAGGAACGGCGTGCTCGCCCTTTGGCTTTCCGGTTTCCGAAAGGAACTTCTTGCCGCCCAAGGCCTGAATAGCACGGCGTATCGTCGCCAACCACTCATCCATTTCTTCGGCGCTTTCGAAAATCAGCAGCATATTCGAGGCGCTGCGGCGCTCCGTCGTCGGTGCTCCACGAAACGGCAGTCGTGAAAAGATGGAGCGACTTGTATCTGGCAGCACAGCTCCATCGGAGTCCATGGCAGAAGCAACCTGCAAGACCCAATGGCGGCCAGGGATAGAGTCGCTTGCGAATGCCGCCGAATGTCTGTTCAGTTTCAGAACCTTCTCAGGTAAGCGGTCAAACGGACCGTCGTTGGCATATTCCAGCAGATACCCAGCCGTAACGAGAATATAAATCTTCTTCTTGGCCTCACCGTCGGTGTGCGAGCCAGATTTGGATCGGCGATGCCTTCTTCTTGGTTTCACCTTTTCATCTTCTGGGGTGCCAGGGGTCTTTTCTTGTTGCTTTAATAGTAAATCGGCAGGCGTTGAACAAGATGGCAGGGTTGAATATCTAACTGCCTGTGGGTAGGCTTTGAATAAGGGGGGCGCATCCCACGATGCCATATGACCACGGTTTACCTTGGCTGGTGGCTTTGCAGCCGCCACTTTATTCCCTGTGCGCTCTTGGTCCTCGGCTGCCGTGGACAGTGGCACGGTTGTGTGTGCGACAGCCTTGCTGTATGGTGAAGAGTATGCGCCTGGTCGAAGGTCGGTCGTCGCAGGGGCATTTGCGTACGCTTTGGGTACGCTCGGCAGCGCGGGAATGTCGGCGGCCTTTCCAGTCTTGCTGCGACCGAATATGCTTCGAAAGCCGAGTCTTGATTCTCGGCGATTGACCTTTTCCGCTTGCTGTGTAACACGCGCATGCAGGTCGTCGCTTGCGGCGCGGTCAAGGTGAGCAGGTGTAGACCGCCATTTCTTCGAGTTGGAGAGCTGGTTATGATGGCTCTCGCCCGAGCCCAGGGTCACGGGTGTCGTTGCATGGGGCTGATGTATTGGGCCGACGGATGCCATTGTTAGCTGTGAGACCCTGTTCTTCTCCGACAAGGTTCGAGGTGAGCTAGATTAAATTCCACGGCAAGGCGCGCAACGTTTCCTTGTGGAATGCAATGCCACGAAGTTGGCGAATTGTGTCGACGGTCTTTTTCTCGAGCGCAAGCATCAACCGCCGGCTGGTAGTGGCAGTAAGAACAAGGCGGGAAGCCGCATGCGCTGTTCAAAACGTACGTCGCCGTGTTACGACGAAGGGGAGGTGCGAAATCCAGCAATCTCCGAGGCTGGGGAGCAGCAAAGGTCGTACAGGAACTAAAGTGATCACAGGGAATAGCGCCCGGTCGGATCAGTTTTTGACTTCGAGCCAATGGACGCCGGCAAGCGGCATGAAAGCTGGAACATGAAGCGCGGCACGAAGGTTTCGGCCAACTCTCCACGTTCTATCCACCACCAAATGGGTCTATCGTGTCCTGGGTTAGGGCTTCCCCTTGATCCCACGCGACTTGAAACGCCGTCAGGTTGTTGGGCTGGTCCGGTCTGGGCGGTTCCGAAATGGTGGTGTTGGCACTCCGGAATGGGCCCAGTCTCCGAAGGTATGAATCGCCACAGAAGCAGAACAACGTGATGTAGGTTGGAAGTTGGAAGGTTTTCCTGGCAGAGGAAAGGAGCGGACTGGGGATCGACGGTGGCCAAGGACGAGTAAGGGGGCAAAGCGAGCTAGCGATGACAGCCAGATGTATGCAGGTATATATGTTTGGATGGCCCGATGCGTGTATGGGTGATTGGATGCTTGTGAAATGCTCTGGCGACCAAAACGCTGTGCTGGTGAGACACCAATTAATTAATCGGGTACCAAGTCAGTCTAGGCGTAGGAGGAGCCGCGGGAGTGCTGGGACTGGTCCGTCCGTCCTGGCTGGATTCCTGGCAGGACTGGACTGAGGGGTGGTGGGGGAGGACGAGTACTTTGTAGGTCGGTGGTGCGAGGTCAGCAAGCACACAGACTGGCGACACAGGCTGCGAGCGCATGTGAGCGGTGATGGCTGCTAATGTTATACTGAGTGCTCAGTCCAATCCAGTCCAATCCATGCAATGCAATGCGGGTGCACATATGGATGCGGTAGGCAGTCATATGCTGCAGCAGGTTCTTTGACAGACGAGCAGCGTCAGAAACCGCGTCCGTAGCGCGCAGATGGAGTGACGCACCAGGGCCCCCTGAGCGCTCTGTAGGGTCCTTCGGGGCTGCAGCGAGCCAATGAACCGGCTCCATTGGGGACACAGCCCGCTAGCAGGGGTCCAGTGTGCTTGGCTCGCAGGCCTGGAGCTTTAGCGTGGGCGGATGGCAGGTCCTGGCCCTCGAGCAGACAGAAGGCTGAGAAAGCACCCGGCCACTGAGCCAGATCCCTCCCTCTTCGAGGCCCCTCCAGGCCCCTCTTCCTCCTCGACCGGCTTGCTCCAGGTCCCAGGATCTGATTAGCTGAATCCACCCCCTTGGGTCATCGACGTGTGTGCTGGGTCATTTGAGTTGGAGATTACATCGGCCGTGATACGATGCGATGCAATCACGGCCTTGGATCACTATCGCCGACCTGCAGGCTCGTTCGCCAACTTCCCCTCCTCGAACAATCTGCACCACTCGACGACGCCCAACAACCCCCAACAGCCATCCACAACTCGACTATGCCTGTTCCTCTTTCCTGCGTCTGGCCCCTCCCCACCGTTCCAAAAAGCAAACTGTTCCCCTTAGGCTAAAACACTGGGCAGGGGAGTGGTAGTGCGCGCGGCGGGAGACGCAGGGGCAGGCTAGAGAAGTCAAATACCCTGGCAAGAGCCGGGATGATGGCACCCAAATGAGACGAGACGCGGTCGGCTGCCCATCCCCGTCGCCAGACTCACCTACGCCTCGTACACGCACAAAAAAAGCAAGCAACAAAAGGTTTGTCTCTCGCGCACAGACAAAGCTCCCACGCTCCGTGATGTTTCCAGCAGCGATCTCCCCCAGGAGGAACAAGGAACAGCATGGATAACCCAATGTTAACCACGTGTACAACGCCAATCTTCCATCATGGTATCCAACATGGTATCAATCTCATGACTTCGACATGGGATTGCTAAGGATTACCAACCGGTACGGACAATAACAACAACAACATTGTCTTCGGTAAACAAAAGTACAGACTAACATCCCGGGAGGGGGCTGAGGTGAGCCCTCACTCAAGTCACTTTACCCACTCCAACGGGCTGCTCGGAGCTTTCCATGGCTTCATATGTCATCAATACGGGAGCGTTGGTTGGTACCTACGTTGGCGATGACGAAAATGCGTCTGTACGAGGGACCCCCCAATCGCCTCCCATCACCTCCCGTGGGGCCTCCTCGAGTGACATGCATCTTCCGCGGCTCCGACGGATAAGATTTTTTTTCCATCGGCCTCTTCCTATGACCACATGCATCCGAAACTGTAGTACTACGCCCTGCTTTTTTCTTCGGTCTTGCTCAGCAGAGACTTGAGCCTGGAATGCCTCAACAGCGTTTCATATTCTCGTACACAACCCATCAACCTCCGAGGGAGGTGACTAATAGAGTGTTTTCGTCCTTCAAATGAAGATCTGCCCGGCCAATTAGTGTTCCAGATTGCTTGCCATTGCTCCGTATGATCAAAACTCAGGCAATCTAGACCCCGTATCTTGCTCAGTCCTCAACACTGGTGTGGTCGCACAGACACATACATACTGGATGGCCGGCATTGACCATCCATTCCCATAGCCTCGCATCTCCGCCTGCCCAGAGCCTCTCCGCAAAAAGGATTTACACAGGCAACTTAAACCAGTCTGGTATATCCTGCGAACTCCACACACTCGTATTCAGCGGCCAGAGATTTCGACAGCACGGTGCTGGGAATATCCACATCCCTGCTTGTGTGCCTCATAATGTCGGCACTCTTAATAAGACAGGTCTTACCAGCAACCTGGGCTGTACAGCTATTCTTCCGGCATTGGTTACGATATTGCGAGAGGGCCAATGCTTCCCCGAGCGGGTATCAGAAGGTGGCCGGTGTCACCAACCAATACAATATTACTGCTAGTGGACATATGGCTTCATCCGCATTGCCTTCAGTTGCCCTATAGTCAAGCCTCTGTGATCCATAGTTTACGGTAAAAGGTATGTTTCGGTGTAACACGCCACATTGAGTTTTCGTCGTTTCTTTTGCTCGCCCGCTTGCCAATGCCTTCCAGCGTTCCTGGTCTCGTGTCCCGTAGCCATTGCTTTTTCAGAGAGCATAGATCGATATCCGTCCGGCACTAGGTACTGGGCCGTTAGCCGGCGGTCACTACTGATGCATATGGGCCACTTCGATCATCTGCTCGACGTTCGTGCCCAACTTGCAGTGGACAGTTGATGATCCCCCTGTGCCCGATTGGTTTTCCCTCACATCTGACGAAACGAGTCCACGCAGCGCAGCAGCCAATTGCTTGCAGCCATCTCCACAAGGTTGGACCCTACCGCGGGCTCAGGTTGACGCGCAGTGATGCCGCCTCGAGGGTGCATGCATGCAGGCTGACTGCCTTCTTGTGGGTGATTACCTGCTTGCCTGCTTACCTTGCACCCATCTGAGCTACGACCCTGACACATCACAGCTAATCGCGATTGATCGAAACTACACCTCAAACATCCAGGCGCGTATCAGCCTCAGCAGCCTCGGACGCTTGACTCGACTGGGAAATAAGGCCCCGAAGGCGGGCATCCCTACAAGATGGGATGTCCCTGACAGGTGGAAATGCAGGTGATATCAAGCTGGGCCAAAGTGTAATAACCGATTCCTACGCCAGATGCGTGGCAACGTATCACGGGCCCGTCTCACCTTCTCGCGAACATGGGGTTCCCTTCAATCATTGTACGGTCGGTGTATCCAAAGGTAAAACCTCCTCACCCAGCCCGGCGACGCGCCGCGCGAGGAGCGACAATCGCATCGAACCATTTTCCCTTGGGCGCACGGTGGCCGAGCTCGCCCTGACCTGACACGGCATGAACAGCTTCTTGCATAATCCCACCGGGGATGACAGCTGCAGCACAGACAACTATAGTGCGCAATGCTAAGAGCAGCGAAGAAAAAAACAGACATGAGGCTAGAGGCACGATGACGCTGTTTGTTTTGTTTGTTTTTGTTGATATTTACAGTAGATTGTTTTTTCCCTTGGTTCTCCCGGGAAACTAAGCTTTCTCTTGATAGGTCTGCAAGCGGCTGCGGAGCGGCTGCATTGCATGCATTTTACCAACTTGCGGTGTAGATGCAGTTGATTCTTCAGGAGCGTGCATACCTTAGTAGGGACCAGGAACAAGGATATACCCCAGGTTCGGGATATTCCTCGCCGCTTTATTTGGGGGGATCGGTATCTCGCGCTGGATTTCGTATCAGGGTGATTCCTTCGTGGATAGGCTCCAAGGCGAAATTTCCCAGATCTTCAATGGTGCGAAAGTACATACTAACTTCGGCTGCTGCATTTGTCCTATCTTCCGGATTTAGAACTTGATCTTTATCTGTTGGAAACAATGACAAGATACCAAGTTCAATTGGGGGTTGGAGGATGCTCAAGTGAATATCACAGAGTGTCACATGAGGGTAGGCTAGTGATAGTACGAAAGTGTGACCTGGCCAGCAAGCTAAAGATGGCATATTGTCCTGGGTGGGAAACGAGCGGGCAACTTAAGCTATGGATAACTGGATTGTTGCTAGCTGCCTACCTACCTAGTCACAGAATATTGCTGCCTCCGATAGCGGGCGAAGCCTCCAACACGCTCCATTGTTCAGCCTCACGCTTAACAACTATGGCTTTTTAAGGCTCCCGGGTCAATGTCTAAACCAGGTGACGATTCCAATTGAATACCTAGGTAATATCTGGTAAGGCAAGTACTAATAAGCCCAAGTACCTACCTACTAGGAGCTGCGTTCCTGGTACTTTACTTCAGATATTGGTGAAGAATCCCTAGTGCCGTAAGCAATAGTCCTCTCTCGGTCATTGCAAAGAAGCCTACACCATTGGACCGCCCGGCAAAGAAGCGCCTGGCTAGAATTAGGCTTCCAGAACCACACTGGTCAGGATTTCCTCACATTCAAAGTAGACCTGAAGATTAATAAACCCTGTTGTGGCCGCGTCGCAATGGCATCTAGGGTAGTACTTGTCCGCCACCCAAAACCACCCCATGACGCAGGTACCCGGGGTCGACGCCAAAGGTCACCAGACGCGGGGCCTGTGACCCGTCGAAAGCGTCACACTCTGCCTAATTTACATCACCAGCCTAGCCATCCATGTCCTCCTAGCCGCCTCCTCAGACCATTAAACACCTGAGGGCCTACCTACTACATTTGCCCAGTATTCTTCCCTGGGCGAGCAACCCGTTTCACCAAGCGCTCGCTATGGCCAGAATGACAGCCGGATCATCAGTACCCCTCACTGCCTGCAAGCCCTGACTGGCCGCCATCCGCCACCACCTATCAACCGCACCTGTTGCTTGAATCTTACCCCGCCATCACTGTCATTAGAAGCCAGGCGAAACAGCTGCCACCCCAAAACCAACAACGCAGATCACGGAACCCTTCAAGGGTCAGGTCACGCATACCTGGCTGTGTTGCCACCAACCAGCGATATTATCTGCCGCCGACGCTTACCCAGCGAAGACGTCCTCCCAGGCCACACTTCCAACGCAACGCACTTTCCCACCATGAACGGAGATGCTTCCTCCATCCCACGGGCAGAGTCCCCAACCGGATCGCCTCGATCAGCATCAATCTCTCTCCAAGCCGCCGCAACCATGAATGCCGGGCTGCAGCATGAGCCCTCACGTCGTAAGAGTTCCCACATCTTCCTCATTGAGAGGGAAGGTCACACTAACCAAGCGCCAAGGGTCGTCCACCAGTTCCCTGACACGGAACCGGTCCTCCCCCCATACGGGTCGGCGCCGATCAACCGTTCTTCTGAATTTGCAGCTCAACGACCCATCTATCCCTGCGCCTGGCGAGATGGCCAGCGACCAGCCCGGCCTGTCTGCCTCTAGCTCTCAGATACTCACCGGGTCGCCCATCACTGCCGACCCCCACCATCACAGAGCTCCAAGCCTGGGTGAGCTTCACCAAGAACTCGAAGCTGAGCAGGAAGCACATGTGGTAAGTCTGGGCCCGCTGGCCTTTGTACATTGGCATTTGTACGTTCGATATTGTCCACGATCTAACCAGTCGTCTCGGTAGAACCGCCTGCTCCAGATGATCCGACAACAACAGCTAGAGCTTCAACGCCTTCAGGCGAACAACCCTGCACAGGGACCCGAAGCAAGCTCGGCCATAGCTGAGCGGTCCGGCCACGGAACGCCCCAGCTATCTGCCTCTCAGGGTTCCTTCCCCGGTGCAATTCCAGTCGGATCGTACCCACGTTCGCCGAGTTTCCCACGCCACCACCGAGGCTCTGTGGAAGTCCATCGCCAATCAAGGACGCCAAGTAGGGGCGCATCTCCAAGGCTTCGAGCTACATCTATCAGTGCCGAGAGCGGCGACTGGTCTCTGGGTGGCAGGGATGAGAGTGCCTTCTACCAGGCCGAAACCCAGATGTTGACCCGTGAGAACCAGATGCTACGACACCGCATCCGGGAACTGGGTAAGTTATTATTTCCTACTTTGCACTTTTCAAGATGTAGAACTGAAACTAATTGCCGCGCTAGAAAAACAAGTGGCCGACATGTCAACTGGGCAAACAGGAGCTACGGCGGCACCATCAACGCCATCGCACTTAACACGATCCTCCACTGCTGAGGAAGAGGGCGAGCAGACTAGTTAGGCCACGGAGGGCTCACGGTGAAGGTTAAGACAGATATGTCTCATGGTGTCTATTGATTTGACTTGGTCCGAAATGGCTTGAATTTAGACGGATAGGTTCCCAAATTGGCGTTTGCTTTTTCCCCTTGCGACGTTCAGCACAACATCTGCTTCTTGGTCTGGACTTACTGTAGGTGTCCAGACATTCGAGAGTCTGACAGTATTAATAGTGCAAAGTCTAGCTGTGTCTTGAAATACCCGCAGATACATTCTGTAGTCATCTTCGGGTTGGAGGGCGGCGAGACTCGGGATCTTGAGGCTTGACATGGCTCAATTCCTCCTCCCGCTTTATTGCTCGACGCGTGATGAAAGCATGAGTGCACGAGCTATTGATGAATAAATGAGAGAAAACTTGAACCAAGAACGCTCCATTCCCACTGCTGTTCCCACAATGTGCGGGCATGCTTATCGCTATGACTCCAGATACTGGTTTCGGTTAAGACATCCCCGGACTCGGCCCCAGATATTCGGGACCCTTTCTCTTCCATCCAAACAAACCAATATAATTATCTCACAATGTCAATGAGACCCGTCGTACGTCTCGGGCGCAGGCTACCCCCTAGATTCCAGAGAGCTTCATTCAGCTCCTCGAGTGTGAATCGTGCCGATTTCACCCACACGGTAGGTTTCGAATCCATCAGCTCCTAAGCACCCGGACCAAGCACTCGGGCGGTTTCGGAGCATCGCCGTCTACCACCAAAGAGGATCGTCTTCTCATGCTGCTGTTATTACTTCAATTTCTCCCCCAATTCTCGTCTGAATTGTTGCCATAGTACCCAATCGCTAATATGTCCCCGGCCAGGTCATCGGCGCCGGGGTGGTCGGCCTCGCCGTCGCCCGCCAGCTCACCAGGCGGCCCGGCAACTCAGTCCTGCTGATCGAGCGGCACCCCGCCGTGGGCACGGAGACGAGCTCGCGCAACAGCGAGGTCATCCACGCGGGCATCTACTACGGCGCCGACACCCTCAAGGCGCAGCTCTGCATCCGCGGCAAGGAGCTGCTGTACGACCTCTGCTCGCGGCACGGCATCGGCCACCGCCGTACGGGCAAGTGGATCGTCGCGCAGAACGACGCGCAGCGGGAGGCCCTCGAGAGGATCCACGGGTTCTGCGAGAGGGAGATTGGCGTGCCGACGAGGTGGGTCGGGCAGCAGGAGATTGAGCGTGACGGGGAGGGCGTGAGGGCGCTGAAGGGGGCGCTGGAGAGCCCGACGACGGGGATCGTCGACTCTCACGGGCTCATGGTGACGCTCCAGGGCTTGTTCGAGGAGGGCGGCGGCATCGTCGCGTTGGGATCGCCGGTGCGGAGCATCACGCCCCTGAGCGGCGGCGCTGCAGGCTGGGAGCTCGAGGTTCAGGACGCCGAGACGGGGGAGCTGTCGAGCATCACCTCGGAGACCATCGTCAACTCGGCTGGGCTCGGCGCCGTGGAGATCCACAACATGATTGTGGATGAGAAGGACAGGATGGAGCTCTTCTTCGCCAAGGGGAACTACTTTTCGTACACGGCGTCCCGGCCGAGGATATCCAGGCTGATCTACCCGGCTCCGGAACCTGGCGCTGGCGGCCTGGGGACTCACCTCACCATGGACCTGGGTGGGCGTCTGAAGTTCGGCCCGGATGTCGAGTGGGTGGACTCGCCGGATGACTTGACTGTCAGCGGCGACCGGTTGCAGACGGCCATAGCAGAGATCAAGCGGTACCTGCCGGGGATCGACGAGACGTGCCTGGAGCCCGACTATGCCGGCATACGGCCAAAGCTGGGGAAGGGAGGTTCTGTGGCCCTGGGGAAAGGAAGCATTAGTGATTTCATCGTCCGAAAGGAGGATGGGTACTCCGGATGGGTCAATTTACTAGGCATTGAGAGCCCTGGGCTGACGAGCAGTCTTGCCATCGCCGAGATGGTGGAGGAGTTGCTCTATGGAAATATCACGAAAGGGTGAATGGATGAAATTTTACATGGGGAAGAACCATTCGCATACATAAGCATAGTTATTCGTGGGACACATGCGTGGGATTGTTGGTGAAAGGGGGCAGAGAAAGCAAATGCACAAATCTTTCACCCTATAGCATCTAGACAGCAACCTGTCTTATCTCACTTTGAGAAATACTAAAATAATAACAAATGACCAAAATATGACAATGACAGATGAGCTAAAGTAAAGCGAGATGTTGGTTCGCCAGGTTGTTGCTTCTGCTACTCCCAAGACTGATAGAGAGCCCTTAGTATTAGAACGGTCTCGCAATGAGTCGGGCATTCTGCTCCATTTGAAGGCAAAAATCAGGCAATAGCAGAGAGCACTCGGTGTTGGATTTCACTCAGGGCTCTACACTCTGCATCTTTGAGTACGCAAACATACGTCGAAACTTGAGAACCCTACGCTTACCAAACTTGAAGCATGTGCACAACTTTTTATCTGAGGAAGACATATTTCTAAAGAATCAAGTCACTGGGTTGGAACTTGGAGAAGACATTTGTGTGCACTATATACATGCACCATTGCTTTGACAATTTTGAATGAGCTCAAGAGAGCAAAAATCCTCGTATAGTGTTGTCATGGAAGACAACAATTGCCCAGAAAATAAAAGATGTTTCGTTAAGCCCGATCATTCCACATTATTCTTATCATACCAATAGCTTACACATTGCCCTAACGAAGCTGGATGCTAGGGGAAAATTTTCTTCCCAGAGTGTTGATTTTGAATTCGTAAATCCCGTTTTGGGCACCGACAAAACTATCCATGGCTTGTCAGAAATTTCACGCGCAAAATGTGTGATCAAAATTCGGAAGGCCACTTACAGAGTTCGACCGTCTTCACTCCACGCCAAACCTGCCGTGTTATCGTCAGAAGGAGGATAGTCGAAGAAACCGGTATCCTGTACCAAGGTGCCTCGAACTGCACTCTCCTCCCAGCGTGTCACCACTTGGTTGACAAGTGGCACGAGGAGGTCGGGATCTCCGTCGTAAGGCTCTCGGGCCTGCAGTATCTCGAGAACGTTCAAGTAGGACGAGTCCTGCCGGTCCCTTTGATCTCTCATTGCGGCCATCTGTTCCCCCAACCGATCTATCCATCGGTGATCAGTACGTCGGGGTCCTAAGGGTCTTTCGCTTGCGTCCCGCAGTAGCTGCCTGGCACTGCGGGCTCGTTCGTGAGCACGGTCCCGCTGGTCTCTGTAGTTCCCCAGCAAATCCCCTATGGCACGGCTGGTATTGCTGTCTCGCTCTTGTTCCTGCGAAGATTCTCCTTCGGTAGGGAAAATAGGGACTCTCCCAGACCGAAACAGACTTCCTGATTCGCTACGGAAGAACCCCCCACTCACTGTTCTGGGAGACATATTGTCCCTGGTACGGGCATTCAGTCTTTCTCGGCGTCGACGATCCTCTTGTATGGCTTCCAGCACCAGGGTCTCGTTGGTAGTCAGCGGGTGGTTCAGGCCATCAATCGTCCGCCGGCGGTTTTCTGATGGGTTTGATTCTTCTAGGACAGCACCCTCAATATTTCGTTCCGCGCGGCGATCCAGAAGTCTCGGATCTACCGTATTTCGATCCAACACATCGAAGTGTTCAAAGTCGGCTTCTGAGCTAATATCAACGATTTGTCGGATGGCAAAGTTACTACGGACATCGGCGAGTCCTATATGGCCACGATCCTCAGTCCATGCTAGGATATCATAAGGACCCGGGCAAAAAGCCATATCTCGAATCGCCCCGGAACCGCTCTTTGGCCGTGATGATGTAAAAGTAGTGATGAGTGGATCGACCTCAGGATCGGTCAATCGATCAGCGTCGAAGATAGAGATAGTACCATGCTGTGTTCCAATAGCAAGGTACGCTCCAGACATAGAAAAGGAGGCAGCGAAGCTTCCCCTGCTTTCTGATATATCCCCAGCCTTCTGGCTTTTGAGCAAAATCGTCTGTTTCAGCTCCCAGCTGCAGTTTTTCTCGTTCCTAGCTTGTGATGTGCCGGGCTTAGGGGTTTGCTCCACCCGTTCATGAATATAGAGGTATGGGTCGTCAAGGATAGCGATCAGGAGGCGGCCATCGGGTGAGATTATGGCACGGTTGACATAGTCCGGGTACGTGATCACATCCATGGCCTCCAGCTTATCCGGGTCCTCATGCTCGTCGAGATGAACTAATGCCACGGTTTTATCATTGTTGGCCAAAACAGCTACTGAGAAAGTGTATGCATTGGGATGTAGCACTGCATGTTGTGTCGGAGGGAACCACAGGGTTATGCAATTTACCCTCTCCTTTGCCAGGCGGATGTTCTTGGCGATAAGACTCTTGTTTCCACGCCGCGCACGCGCTATCAGGCCCAAGAGTGCATCGCTCGGGCCTGATTCTGTACCGCCCGCGCCGAATGGAACTGTGTTCAAGGTATAATCCAAGTCAAGAGAAGCTTCACTAGTATCATGTCCTGATGTATTGCGGTTTGCCGACTCGGAAATGGCATCTTCGTTCAACCGAATGGCGACAAAATCGCCCTGTTCGCTTCCACAACATAGCCATCCTCCCTTAGCAACCAAGCATCTGGGCGCGAATGTCAGTAGCTTTATCGTTTCGCACTCGCGAGTCCTCGTATTGAGACGCTGGACGTGGTTGCTACCATGTCCTCCGGGGAGGTAGACAATGTGCTGTTTCTCGGCGCTAATCAACGATCGCAGTTGCCAGTGCCTAGACCGGGCTCAGTTAGATGTTGGAGGAAATGGAGTTTTGACAAGTAATCGCGTGACGCACTGGGAGCGGACTGGAACACGGAAATGCTTTCGTGGCTTCTTGGAAACGATCGTTTCCGTTGGAAAATGCCTAAACGGTGCAGAAACTTAGTTAGAGGTGGCGAGATGCAGGCCAGGATAAGAACTAACAGACTATCGTCCTTCACTGCCATTCTGACATATCCCGAAAAGTTTCTGCCTCGCCTAGCTGGATAAAGCGCGCGACAGGATACAAGCGTGATTCAGTGTGGATGATGGCAGAAGACGGCGGGTTCGTTCGTGGCCGATGCCTGGCCACTGAGGAACAGGCCAACCTAGGAGCTAGGCTGTGCAACGTCTCGCAGGATGCCGTGCCAGGGTGACATGAGGTGTGTCACGCACCTTCGGGAGAGAGAATATGGTTTGGAACAGTGGTTTTTCGAGCGAAGGCAGCGCGCAAAGCGAGTATTCAATTCAGCGATGGGATGATGAGAGATGACGACGTTGAGCTCATGACGTCCTGGAGGGGGCGAATTCCTTCACGTGTATGCTGGCTAACCTACACCTCTAGGCGGGCGACAAAAAGCGTGGCACAGGTCGCCTCCTGCATATTCGAGACAATGTCAAAGCAAGTAGTAAAATGAGCCGAAAAAAAAAACATGCTTTCGGGAAAATGCACAATTCCAGTGTTTGTTTTATACTGTTGCATTTCTTTTTCAAAATACCACCTTAACTATGCCCATACCTACCTACCTAGTATGAGTTGCAGACTAGGTATGTTGAGGCACACATGTATGCTACTCAAACTTCCCATCGGTTGGAGCAGATGGGGTTTTCCAGCGTAACGCCAACTCGGTACATGCAATTTAGCGTCTCGCCACGCATACTTTGAATGTACTTTCAGGTGCATATGCTTGTATTTGTTCCGATTGCTTGCTCTCCAAACCACATATTTCAATAGTCGCGCTTTGGTGACGAACGCCAAAAGATAGCACCAGACCAGACCCTAGTTTTCCCCAGATAGGTCCCGCTACCGTCCTTGCGGTACAGCCACTAGTATCTTTTCTATTCATAAGTAAGGGTCATAATAAACATAGCTCGATTTTTTCCAGGGGGAACGCTTAGCTAGATCTGAAATACATTGTATATTCAACACTCGTAGTTCAACAAGTACCTATACCTTGTATCTTAATTGAATGGTGCTTCATCTTGATGGCTTTTGACTGATAGTATCGAGTGTGCTAAGAGATTAGATGTCAAGTGCCTAAAACCATTGTTCATTTAGGCGATGCGGAATTTACCATCCACCTGGACCTCAAAACTTCTTCTATCGAAGGCCGCTCCTTGTGTCGAACTCGAGCATAGCATGCATCAGCTCTAATATCGCCCCTGTCTCCTCTTTTCCGGAAGCTTTAGTAGCGGCTCTTTTCTGTCGATACTTCTGAACGAACTCCTCAAAGGCGACCTCTGAAGGTGGCCGTGGATCTCTCTCATCTGGACTGGGCCTTCTCATCTTCTGGTTGTTTCCGTTACTTGACTTGAGAGCCACTCAATCTTTCCACGATGATCGGGGAAGATCCCAGAACAACCACTTATTGGGTGCCGATCTCATCCTCAGTTCCCAATTGGAAGAAGATAAACTTCATGCGTCTAGGCTCCATATGTCAAGACAGGTAGGTATTGTAACGGGCTAGCCAAATGCTTGAGTTGCCACCGAACCCTTGACTATCATTACACAATAACGACCGTGTATAATATCTCTTATCATTATATACATAATCACATCCGCCGTATTGATACATATTTGCTCAATTTCATTTGTCTAATCATCGTCGATGAATGAGTTGAGGGCATAGTCAATAGATTCGTGCGGCCTGGAACATATGTTTTAGCATGCGTTGAATGGTATAATGGATGATGCGAAATAGTGCAAGATGGCCTGGTTTCTACATGCAGCGATGTATTCTAGCAAACTGATCTGAGCCGTAATAGTTTGTATATACCCGCGTGAGGTGTGCTAGTATAAATTATTTGAGGATCTGAGAACGGAGGCAGAATGTCTAAATAAATATATTGGGACAATAAGGGACAATAATTGATGAGACGCCGAGTGGTTCCGTCTCGCTACGTATTCCTGACGAAGTTGAGTTGAAGCTAAGGGGACAAACTTTTTTGGTGTCGCATTGCACTAAAAGCACCAGGTCTGTTGCCGAGGTAGAAATCTATACTTTCACATCGCCAAAGCAAAGCGGCCGAAACCCGAATTTGAAAACGAGTTTAGGATGAATGGGTGAGAGGAATAGGCCCAAGTAACATTCACAGGGCAGAAAACGGTGAGCTCACGGAGCCGATCACAGAGTCAGGATCTCCAAGGCTAGCTTGCTATTGGCTGCAGCAGCTGAACCGGATGTCATCAAGACCGGTTATCGGGTAGCCATCCGACTACGGCTTGCGGTAGGCCCGTTCTGAAGCGACTTAAGAACAACAGAATTGGATCCCAGCAGATCGGAAACCCTTGTTTAGTCCGTTATCTCAATTCAATTTTTCACTTCCTCGTTTTTCTTTCTGGGTGTACGTGTAAGAGACGCGAAGGCATGTCATGACGGTGACCTCCTTAGAAGATATGAGGCATGGCAATTGCCATGATTCATTCGAGTAGAAAAGCGGTGGTTCTCACGCGGAAGCTTGCCAGGAACTGCTAAGCCGGGGCGATAATAATCCGCGAAGGCAAAAGAACCCCACATATATGGGTCCTGTGGAGCAAAGGCTCTTTCCTTCGGCTTCCATGGTCGGGGACAGCAATTTTCCTCGGGCTAAGAAAATCTTGCTGTTCCTTTTCAACCGCCGTCTTCCGCACACCTCTAAATCTTCCATCTTTTTCTCCATCATCCACCTGTACAATACCTCCTACTCAATCCGTGCGCCTTCATCGATTTCTTTCTTTTGCTTTAATAATACCCCCTAAGAATCGCACAAAGATGTTGGCTTCGCGATTTTCCAGAGCTGTAAGTCCTCTACCCTCTTTGCCGAGCAGGTGGATGAATGTTGCTAACATGAGAATATAGCTTCCCCGAGCGACCCCCATCACCGCCCGCTCCGCAGCTTTCGCCAGAGCTCCTCTGGCATCCAGATTCGCTCGCTATGAGTCGACATCTGCCGATGGCGACAAGGTGCAGGGTGCCGTGATCGGTATCGATCTGGGTACCACCAACTCTGCCGTTGCCATCATGGAGGGCAAGACTCCCAAGATCATTGAGAACTCAGAAGGTGCACGCACCACCCCCTCAGTCGTCGCCTTCGCCGAGGATGGTGAGCGACTGGTCGGTGTCGCCGCCAAGCGACAGGCTGTTGTGAACCCTGAGAACACTCTCTTCGCCACCAAGCGTTTAATCGGTCGCAAGTTCACCGACGCTGAGGTTCAGCGTGATATCAAGGAGGTCCCCTACAAGATCGTCCAGCACACCAACGGCGATGCCTGGGTATCTGCCCGTGACCAAAAATACTCTCCTTCTCAAATCGGTGGCTTCGTCCTCAACAAGATGAAGGAGACTGCTGAGGCCTACCTCTCCAAGCCTGTCAAGAACGCTGTTGTCACTGTCCCTGCCTACTTCAATGACTCTCAGCGCCAGAGCACCAAGGATGCTGGCCAAATTGCTGGCCTGAACGTTCTCCGTGTCGTCAACGAGCCTACCGCCGCCGCTCTGGCCTACGGTCTTGAGAAGGAGGCTGACCGTATTGTCGCTGTCTACGATCTTGGTGGTGGTACTTTCGATATCTCCATCCTTGAGATCCAGAACGGTGTCTTCGAGGTTAAGGCTACCAACGGTGACACACACCTTGGAGGAGAAGATTTTGACATCCACTTGGTCCGCCACATCGTCCAGGACTTCAAGAAGACCTCCGGACTTGACCTCTCCGGCGATCGCATGGCTATCCAGCGTATCCGTGAGGCCGCCGAGAAGGCCAAGATCGAGCTGTCTTCTTCCCTCCAGACTGACATCAACCTGCCCTTCATCACTGCTGATGCTTCCGGCCCTAAGCACATCAACGTCAAGCTCAGCCGTTCTCAGCTGGAGAAGATGGTTGACCCTCTTATCACCCGCACCATCGAGCCCGTCCGCAAGGCTCTGAAGGATGCCAACCTCCAGGCCAAGGAGATCCAGGAGGTTATCCTCGTAGGTGGTATGACCCGTATGCCCAAGGTCGCCGAGTCCGTCAAGAGCATCTTCGGCCGTGATCCCGCCAAGTCTGTTAACCCTGATGAGGCTGTTGCAATTGGTGCTGCCATCCAGGGTGCTGTTCTCTCCGGTGAGGTCAAGGACCTCCTTCTGCTCGATGTCACTCCCCTCTCTCTTGGTATTGAGACCCTGGGTGGTGTCTTCACCCGTCTCATCAACCGCAACACCACCATCCCCACCAAGAAGTCTCAGGTCTTCTCCACTGCTGCCGACTTCCAGACTGCCGTCGAGATCAAAGTCTACCAGGGTGAGCGTGAGCTCGTCAAGGACAACAAGCTCCTCGGAAACTTCCAGCTTGTTGGTATCCCACCTGCTCACCGTGGTGTTCCTCAGGTCGAGGTCACCTTCGACATCGATGCTGACTCCATTGTCCACGTCCACGCCAAGGACAAGTCCACCAACAAGGACCAGTCTATTACCATTGCCTCTGGCTCTGGTCTCTCTGACTCTGAGATCCAGCAGATGGTTGAGGACTCCGAGAAGTACGCTGAGGCTGACAAGGACCGCAAGGGTGCCATCGAGGCTGCCAACCGTGCCGACAGCGTTCTCAACGACACTGAGCGTGCCTTGAACGAGTACTCCGACAAGCTCGACAAGACCGAGGCTGACGGTATCAAAGAGAAGATCACCGCCCTCCGTGAGTTCATCGCCACCAGCCAGTCTGGTGAGGGTACCGCCACCGCCGAGGAGATCAAGGAGAAGACCGACGAGCTCCAGGTTGCCAGCTTGAACCTCTTCGACAAGATGCACAAGGCCCGCAACGAGAGCAACAACGCTGAGCAGCAGTCCACCCCTAACGAGGGTGAGAAGAAGGATGAGTCCAAGCCTTAAGATTCTTCAAAAATCTTGAAAGCTAAGATCAAAACCTCAAAAAATAAAAACACAAAATCATCCACTGGTCTGTGATGACCTCAACTGGATATCATAGTGGCCGTCGGCATACAGCCTTTGTAATTATTATGTATTCTTACCTCCGCCTTCAGCCGCTTTGCCATTTTACGCTTATGTAACCTTGTTTCAATACTATAGTTGGCGGGACGGCGTTGGAGCATCAAAACTTTGTTATGGAATCTTCTCACGTATCATGATTTAATGGTCTGGGACCAGGTATTGGGGAGTGTTTGGCTTGTATGTAAGAGAAAAGAAAAGCCCTATATGGGCGACTTAGAATTTAGCACACATCCCCTCTCATCAAACGTCCCAATCATAAATGCACCCTCCAGTGAATGTGAACTCAAATTGCAACATAATTCGGGCCGAGCTTCAATACGAGTCGACCCGAAAAGCTCCCATCCGATTACGCTCGACAACCTCAAATCGAGTCCAACAATGATACCCCGCCATGCATTGATTCTATTGTCACCCATTCTTTCGTACTGTGTTCCTGATGACTCAGCTAACCTGTGCACAGGATAGCTGAGTCAGCAGTCAGCACAAGGACGTCCTTGTATATATTGACAACATTGTCGCATCATGTGCTGACGATTAAACGAATGTGTTTATGAGGCAAAACACAAAATCTTGATAGAAAGACACTGTGGCATCATTATTTTATTTTAGTTTTAATCTAACGGGCCAAAGTTACGACCGGCCGAATCCAAACCATCCCTTCTTAGCAGGCTGTGGCTCCGCCGGCTTGTTAGGAGCGGGAGCAGCCTGAGCAGGAGTGGCGGCAGCTGCTTGGGTCGTCTTGCCCGGATATTCGATGTAGTTCCATGCAACGTCCAGGAAGATGGGCTTGACGGGGATTGCCGCTTTCTTGGGTGGGAATTCGACAATGCTTGCCAAATTGATACCGCCGCTGGGATATTCGTGGAGGCGCTCTATAAGAGGGGTGGGCGAATCCTTCGAGTTCTCCTTTCGGAGATTCTCAATGTGGACAATGGCACGATGGCGTTGGAGTTCGCCGGTGAGGAGTTTTATGAGGAACGCGATATCGTCGTTTGAGAGGTCAACGTGAAGAGGTGCGGAATCGTCAGAATCTGCCGACCCGGTGCCTTCCCCGGCTGCATCCTGGCTCAGGTTGAGCGCGTGCTGGATAAGAGCTAGTGCATTGGACACGTTGCCGATAATGGCGTGAGAGCGAGCTACTGCGAGTGAACTGTTTGGAAGGAGGTGGGTTAGTATGTCGTATCATTTAACCGGGATATGATATATTACTCACGTGAGGGCTTGGAAGTACTTGACCGAGACATCCAGCTTAGTAGCAAGACCAACGTCAGCGGCAACACCAGGGAGTTCCCTGATGGTCTGCAGGTTTTGTAGAGTTCCATCGTAGAGGGCCGCCTTTTCCTTGAGCTTGGCAAGCTTCCCGCTTGACGGCAATTCCCTCGATCCGTCAGCCGCGGATTGGTCCTTGAGTTGTGTTCTCCGTCGGTGCTTGGAAAGGTTGTACTCTTCCGTTGCGCCGTCGTGAGGTCCGGTCAGCACTCTGTTTCGCCCAATTCTCCAACTAATCATTTCGTAATTGACGGCAGTGCGGGTAATCTGGAGGCTCTGCATTCGGGGATCGCCCTGACTTACACCCTCTCCCCGCAACTCATCAATGGCTGTCTTTGTCGCATCTACTGCATCTTGTGTCGCCGTAAGGATTTTGTCGTAAGCTGCGGCCACTTCGCCGGGGTTGCTCTGATCCAGCTCCTCATATGTCTCCGCCAAGACTAATTTGGCACTTTGAACTGCACCCCACGCTGTGGAAATCTGAGAGTCTTCGATTGTCACCTCGCGTGATCGCCACGTGAGCGTTCTAGGAGCACCGCCAACCTCGGGAACCCCCTTTTCGGTCTCCACATCATCCTCGAGTGCCTTGGGGTTGATTTTCTTGATGTCAGCTACCAGAGCTTCGTCTGATGTAGGAAACTTCTTTTTCGAAATTGCCGAAATTGCGACTGTTCGTGGAATGTTTAGGCGATAGGCAGCAAACCGAATTGAGGGGTCGATGATTTCCGAGATTAAGTCTTTGTAGATGTCATCCTGAGCCTTTGCGCCCAAGGCGCTGTAAATGACCCGGACGGTAGAGAAGCTCTCTAGACAAGGCTCCCATGCCTTCTTCTCAAAATTGATTGTGCCATGCATCATAGCAGCATATCCCTTGACCTCGAGAAGATCGCTAGCCGAACCTGTTTCGGAAAGTGCCTCGACGAGCTGGTCCGCATTTTGCGCCGCCTTGCGGAGTCTAGATACGATATGCTTTCGTGTGCTTCGCACAAGGCCCTTCTGGTCGTTTGTATGGGAAGCCTTCATGCTCATAGCTTGAGCCCAGGCATGCTCACTGGTAAGTAGGGCAAGGTAGATGTATCTGTGAAGCAAAAGGTTAGTAAGGAGTAATTGAGATGTATGCAAATATGGACCAAGAGCAGCGCACCCATTATTTTGCGCAATCTCCTCAGAGGTGATTTTGGCCTTGTTGGAGAACTTCCCGCGGTTCCTTGTCGCAATACCCAGCTTCTGTCGTGATTTGAGAAGTCGCCGGGCAAGCTGGGACTGGTATGTCGAGTAGTCGCCGTCGAGGAGTGCCTTATCCCGGCCCTGGATAATGAAGCTCGTGATCTCCATGCTGGGCTAGTATAGACACAGCGAGATCAATGTTGTCTTGTAGCGATGTGGTGTCGTGGTAGCTAGGCTAAATCAACCACCTTGCAAGTCGGGCTACAACCATCTTGAATTTTCCCCTCCACAAACGGCTAAGCCACGGTAGAAATAAACGACACCCCACTAAACCCTCACATCCCACCTAAAGCACCTACGCCATCAGCAGGAGCATCCCGCTACCTCATTGTGTTCCTGATGACTCAGCTAACCTGTGCACAGGTTAGCTGAGTCAGCAGACAGCAAGCATAACTATTCGTCCCTGGAGTATGGAAGTTGGGCAGATTTGCAAGCTACCAAAACTAAATGAATGACAACAAGTTGTAGCACCAAACGCTTGATTTACATATGGCGCTTCATGTTTATGATGAGCAGCTAGACGGAGAATTGCACAGTGACATTAAGGAGCAATTCTGGATTTTGGAACGATGCGGCATCTGCTATTTCAAGGTACACCTAGGCGAAAACTTCATTCTAGGTCATGACGATGTTGCCCAGATTCCATTGACGTCGGAGACGTTCAAGGACACGCATGATACTGTTTGTATATTATGTACCGCCTCCTGTGATCATGACCGACCGCCAGGTCACCTCCTCCCATCTTAGTTGTGTCAAACCAGTTGAAGTCATATGGACGCCTCCTTGACATTGCTAAACCTGCGTTCGAACCTGTAACTCGAGAGAGTTCGCTTGGGTATAATCCTACTCACAACCTTAAACTCAACCTGCTAGCCGGATTACGGGGGGAGACAACCCAATACCTTCTTCAACACTACATTGGTCCATGGATGGTGAGCTGTGAACCGGGAGTTTCATGGTGTTTAGGCCTACCTTCCCTAACTGATAGATAGTGCATAAGTGGGCCCCATCGGCCAATTACCACTCGGCGCCCGCCGTATGAATCACCCCTTGACTCCGTTCCCGGCGTACATTGATGGTAATTTGATATATTTCCATGCCCTTACTCCGAAGTCTTCACCACGATATTCTAGTATTCAGACACCCCTAACACATTCGTCAATTCATTTCTTCCGACATGGCTACTTCAAATGGTCTGGGGCCTAAGAAGCCCGTCCTATTCTTGTATGCTCAAGTTTGCCGATCATCCCAGAGGCTTTTCTTACTGGACCCTTGCACAAGCTAACAAGATGAAAGTGATATCGACAACTGTCTGTATTCAAGAAGTACGTTGGGCTGCAGATTCCGAAGTGAATATACTCTGACTGAACAAACCTGCAGGCACCAAGGTCCACGATCTCATGGCTGACCTCATTGACCAATATTTCGCCACTCATCTGGGAGTTCCCTATGAGGAGGCTGTGAGACTTCACAAGGACTACTATACCAACTATGGTCTGGCCATTGAGGGGCTGGTCCGCCATCATCAGATTGATCCCCTCGACTACAACGCAAAAGTCGACGACGCCCTGCCGCTGGAGGATATCATCAAGCCCGACCCTGAACTCCGCGCTCTGCTCCAGGACATTGACAAAAGTAAGGTCACAATGTGGCTGCTCACCAATGCATACAGCACCCATGGTAAACGAGTGGTCCGTCTTTTGGGCATTGACGACCTGTTTGATGGCCTGACCTTCTGCGACTACGCCGAGGAACCCCTGCTCTGCAAGCCTCACCCGGATATGTTCAAGAAGGCTATGCGCCAGGCTGGTATTGAGGAATATGGGGACTGCTACTTTGTCGGTATGTTTTTTTCTCTCCTACTGACAGAGTTTTCCTCTACTGCTACACGGTGCAGTACTGATGTCTAACAAACAAACTCTCCTTTAGATGACTCGTACTCGAACTGTGCAAAGGCAAGCGAGCTTGGCTGGCACGTTGCCCACCTGGTAGAAGAAGGCCTCAAGGTCCCGGAGACACCGGCCTCGCAATATCAGATAAAGCACGTGCGAGAGCTGAGGACAATCTTCCCCCAGTTTTTCAAGTCTACGTCCCAGTAATCTTGGACCAATGATGTAATGATAGAAGATATGATGGACGAAAGATCCTACAGATTCACGAGACTTTGATACATCCACGGTTATTTCGTTTGAAATAGAGTAACAAAATAATCCCGCAATAGAATTTGTTGATATCCTTGCAGAACCTTATGACCTATGGACACCAGTAGTACTCTAGTACCTCGGGAGAACAGTCCCAGTCTCCTGTATGCCACATGTAGACCCAACTCCTCGCTTTGAATGCACACTTAGGGGGTAAAAAATCAGATAAAAAAGGAACCCATAAAGGATGAAGAAGAAACACGCCTGTGCGGAACGCCCTGGCGAGTGCTATGGTCGCCGAATACTCCTGATGACTTGATCGAGTTCGGCGAGGATTTGATCGCGCTCTTTGAGAGCCTCCCGACGTTGACTTTCCGCCGCCTTCAGGTCCTCCTCGAGTTCTTTGATGGCGCGCTCCTGGTCCTGTTCGCTGTTCTGCAAGCCCGGAAGCATCGAGATGAGGTATTCGATCTGCTGCTCCTTCGTGATCAGGTCTCGCGACAATTCGGTTAAACCGGCGCGAAAGTCGTCGACCGGTAGTGAATCAACTAAACCAAACCAATGTCAGCTCTAGCCCTCGATAAATAGTCGACAATGTCACAACTAACCTTCTGAGGGGGGCGCCTGACCATCCTGCTTAGGGGTAAAGATCTTATCCTTGGGTCCCAGAGTTTCAAGATCATGTCGCCTTTGGACGAAATACAGCGCAGCAACAAATTGTTGCGCGAGCTACCCAGCCATGTTAGCAGTCGACTCTTGCTCCTGCGCATGTGATGCATATGGAGCTGCGATTTGCTACGACGCACCTGGTCTACAGCATCCTGCACTTGGGTGAGCCTGTCGCCCATGGCGGCGCGTGTGGTGTAGGGAGTACTGTGCTAAGCTGGGAAGATGGCGCTGCCATTCGAGGAGCCTCTGCGGGCCTCCTACCTTGTTGTTCTTGGCAAGATGAGTTCCTCGACGACGTTGGAATTGTGGTCGCCCTCAGCCGAAAGACCAGAATAGCTCCCGACGCAATCCGCAGGCAGAGCTCTACATGGGTAGCACTGTGCGGGTCTCGGCCGCGGGCAGCAGCGAATCAGCGATCCGGGCACAGGCCACGGATTTTTTAGCAGCGAAGTGAACACCTTGTTGTTAACGTGTGTGCGACCCGAATGGAATGACATCGCTCTATTATTCCAGGTCTCGTCATATTTCTTCTTTGGCCTGCTTACCCTTCTTCTCTTCCATAAACCAGCCAGTTCTTCGCCCCTTTTTCGTTTCTTCTAATCCCCATTGCTCGCCAGGTACGCTCCGATTTTCCAAAAGGACTACTCTCGTTCCAATTCCTCGACGCCGTTCTTAATTTAATCTTCCCACCTTTTGGCACACTACGCCACCATCACCACATACGCGCGCGATACACCACACAGACAGCCTCAACAATGGAGAACGACAGCCCGCCGAACAACCCCCCGCCCCAGCAGGAGGAGCAGATCCTGCCTAACATCCGGTTCCCTCCCGGCCAGCAGCCCACCCCCGAGCAGATCCAGCAGGTCCAGCGCAAGATCGCAGAGGACGCCCGCAAGGCCGGGATGACCATCCCCGAGTTCCTCGAGCACCTCAAGAAGCAGGCGATCCAGATGCGCATGGCCCAGCAGCAGCAGGCGCAGCAGGCGGGCCACCCCGGTGCCGGCCCGCCGGGACACACCCACCCCCATCCCGAGCAGCAGCAGTCCCAAGGCGTTCGACAGCCCGTTACTCCCGGGCCGCCGAAGCCCGAGGCTCTGGCCGTCGCCAAGTTCCTCCGCAGCCAGAACCTGAAGCCCCGGACTTGCATTCTTAATGGTGAACGCAAGGACATGTTCAAAGGTAGGATTCTCCTTGACCAATACCCAGAACTACAAGAGGGGTGAACTAGCAAGCTAGCTGTCTGGATATCTGAGCTAACTTATACGCAATAGTCAAGCGTGCTCTGCGAGCCCTCGAGTCCCCCGCCTATGAGAAGGCCCGCAAGAAGAACCCGCTCCTGCCCGCCATCACGGACCGGGCGTCCCTCGAGAACACGTTCAAGCTCCTGCCCCTCAGCATGCTCGCCCTCCGGGTCAGCAAGGTCGAGCAGGACCCTGCCAGCGGCGGCAAGAAGGCGAAGCGGGTCAAGGGACAGTGGACCGTCAAGATCGAGCAGCACCAGGAGGCCAAGGAGGAGCTCTACTACGCCTGGCTCTGGGAGGGCAGCCAGTTCCAGCGTCAGCTGTACGCTGCCCTGGCCCTGGTCCTGATCTTCACCGTCGTCCTGTACCCCCTCTGGCCCCTCGTCCTCCGACAGGGCGTCTACTACCTGAGCTGGGGCCTCCTGGGTCTGCTCGGCTTGTTCTTCCTGATGGCCATCTTCCGTGTTATCCTCTTTTGCGCCACCTACTTCATTGTCCCTCCTGGTCTCTGGCTGTACCCCAACCTCTGGGAGGATGTGTCATTCATGGACAGCTTCAGGCCCGTCTGGGCATGGCACGAGGTAAGCCGATCTCCCAATCGTAGCTACTCTAAGAGCTTCGCATGTACTAACCACGGACTCAACCAGACTGAGAAGCCCAAGAAGAAGAAGAAGGCCAAGGCCGTCAAGGGAAGCACGAACGCCTCCGTTGCCGCCGCCACAGGCCAGGTCTCGCCAGCTACCGCACAGACAACTGGCACCGATACGCAGGTAAACACCGAGGGTGTCCACCAGCGACAGTATGTAGCACCCAAGGTCGAGGAGCTTGGCGATGACGAGTAAAAAAATGGGTTGTTGGGAGCGGATGAAGCGGACGTCCCGGTGTCGGCGTTGGATGGTTGTCTTCGGAATATACAAACGGGAACCCACTAGTTTTCCTCCCTGGTTTTCTTTGCTTTTTCCCTTTTCCCTTTTTCCCTTGTTTTCCCTCTTCTCTTTTCTCTCTTCTTCATCTGTGTTCTTTCCCCCCATCCCCTTTTGGTGACCTCTGGTGGATTGTGAGCATTAGAACTGTGCCGTAAAAAAAAGTACAAACATTGGGATCAGATCATCGAGAAAAAGGAGAAAAAAAGTGATATTTCTTGGACGAAACTAGTACAAAAACCTCGTGACGCCACTTCCCCAGTCCCAAGGCTCTGGTCATTTCTCGGAAAACTCCATCCCAGCTAACACGTGTGGCTTTTCATAGGCTCCCTGCCCGGTTGTGGCTAGCCTTGCGTTGGTACAGCCAAAATGGCTCGATTTTAATCTACATGTCAATTACGACCTTTGATGTGTACGTTCTCACCGTCCGCGCGCGAAACCGGCTACGCCTCGCTCGCAAGCTTGCCCAAGTCATCCCGCATGGCGGGCGGTCTCGACCCAATGGCTCTGCCGCCAAAGACGGCGAGGCTTGCGGCAAGACAAATGAGATATTACCGGTGAGGTGGCCGAGGGCTGGGCCAGCGTCCCGGGAGCACATGCTTGTTCGGCTGGCCCTCGACTTGCGTCAATCTCGGGGCCGCCACGGCTGATGGCGAACGGTGGCTTGCCGAAACGGTTGCTCGGGCCCCGTTAGATACCAAAGAGAAGTGTCACAGACGGTGCTGGGACCCTGATCCGGACGCCGTTGAGCGGGATGGTATGATGGCGACAGACGGTTCGTGTCAGTGTTTCAAACAAGCCCATGGTAGCTGGGAAACCGGCGGCTTGGGATGACGCGAAATCAGTATCAAGTGGGATCCGATCGGAAGGACAGGGGAATTGCCGAAACAAGCGAGTGACAGAGAGCACTAAACGGGCCCTAAAGCAGGTGACTGCGAACTCAAACGCGCTCCGTCAGGAACGTGGAGAAGCTCGAGGCGGGTTCGAGTCCAGATGGGCAAGTTGCCCGTCCTCCCTAGCCACAACGGGGCTCTCGTCGGCCTTTCCGTTAGGTCAAGTCGATACGCTCACCACCCACCCTCACCGGAGTCGTCGGACGGGGGTGCCATTGGCGGTGCTAGTCGCAGTCTTGCAAAGTGGCTTGAGGTATATTGGGGGCTATCCTCGTGGTTTAATTCTCTTAGTGTCGGTTCTTATCCCTTTTCCATTAGTTCATCCGGTGGAACCACCTCCGCCAAAGCAACGATCGGTACTAGTGAGAGGAGGATCACGGCTAACTTCAAGTCTGGGCTGGGTGCTGGCTTCCGTACACACCCACAATCGTTGGCGTGCACCAGCCGCATCTACACCAAGTAATGGATGCATCTGGGGATTAGGGAAATAGGGGGGCGGAAGAATTACTTATAACGCTGCTGATATGCTTGGAAGTAATCCTGATTCATCTCAAGCTGAGGAGCACCTAACTTATTTCGGAAATGTTCTCATCTCGCGTATCGATTCTTCATCTTCGTGTTTCATACAATATACCCAAGGGTTTTCTGGTATGGGTTTTCCTCCAGGCTGGATTGGTGGGTTGGGGCTACGAATCGGCTGTCCAGGTTGGGGTGGAAATCGGCCCTGCTTTGAGGAACCAGTCCAGTGGTCATGCTACGTTGAAGGTGGCCAGAACTGACTGTGGAGCTGGCTTGAATGCCACCGAAGTGGGCTTTAGCTTGCCTCCTCATCTGCCACTGTTGTAAGTTAGAGCACCCTGTATTCGTACTGCAGACTGTAGGCTGTCCAGGATCTCGGTGAGCAGGTGCCGTATTACAAGGTCGACTACCGCGATGAACGAACTAGTTCCTCTTCCCAAGTCGCGAATCGTGTATCCATGAGCTTCTTGGATCCACCTCTGTGGTGCTTCTCTGCTTATACCAGTGGCCTCTCGGTATGAAAGGCTGGGCTGTGATGGTCTCCAAAGAGCAATTGCTAGACTACAAGCAAAAGTTTATCGTAAGGCGATGTCCAGGCAGAGATCAGCGGTCGTGAACCTGGTCAAGACCAAAGCCACTCACCGGTCATTTCATGAACTAGCTTGCTTATGGATTTCTCAACACAGGCCAGATCGGCAGTCTGTGGTGTTTGGGTGTGTTTTGGGAGATGTCATCAGGAGCAACATGAAGAAAGGGGTATGATCACTCACTCCCCATCGTCGCTCTTCCTCCGATAATTATCCCTGAAAAAGCAGTGTGTTTAGGTCAGAGCCGTGGCATCGTTAGTGGGCTCATAGAGATAACGTCGTTTGAGAAGATGAAGATTATAACCTTGGGTACGTTAGATGCATCACGCCAGATTAGCAATTATGAAGCCTATACGAGCCTCCGCAGGGACGTTTGTGATAGTTGCTCTTGGGGTTTTCCGAAAGGGGGTAAGGTGACTTCAGGTATGTGTCAGGTTATTGTCTGGCAAGCGTAATGAGGCCAGTGTGCTTCTGGAGCTTGAGGCGAATGGAGGAAACGAGGTGACGAAAACCTGGTCTGGCCTATCAACTGGCCACCTCCTCAACAGTTTGTCCGCCCCTTTCACTTGCCACTGATGATAGTTACCCTGCAACTAGTGTGCTCAAGGCTTCCTCCTCTCGACTTCCCCATTTGTTATTGCTTTTTTTGCCCTATGGGTTTGGGCTCACAGCGCTGGCCAAGCTCGGCTCGGCCCCGGAAGGAATGTAACGATGAGCGACGGGTCGTGACATTTAAGTTCCCGAGAGAAAAAAAAGCAAAAATTTGTCCATTCATTGATTAACCAGTTAGCCTCTTCCACTTCGTAGCCTTACTCTCGCTCTGGTCTGTAACGCACTCGAATTTGGTGAACGTCCATTCTAGGTTACTAGATATTGGTTAGATGCATTGCATCGGTCCTTGTACGGAGTCTGGCACGAGATCTGAGATCTAGCGAAATATTCAACCTTGCAGGCCATCTCATGGTGTTCGCAGAGATCTCCTCGATCTGCCAAAAGCAAAACGAATTAGGTGAACCATGCAATCAAAGTTATATGAGGGAGGGGTCTCGATCCTTCCTGCGAACAGGTTTTTCTTACCGCCACTCATGTACGCTTAGATTACAAATTCCCCTTTTATTGATGTTTTGCAGTATGCGTGCTTCTTACCTTCCACAACGTTTGTTGGTCGCCTAGAGCCATAAATATCCCGACCTGCCATATCTGATCATGAAGATGGAGAGAGCAGGTCCTTCCTTCAGCTAGGACGAGCACCTGGACTGAGCTGCACACCGGGCCGGGACCAGGCTGTCATGAAAGTAGCGTAGTGTCACTTGAGCTGGCTGACAAGCAGAGCTGAACGAATTTGAAATTAGGCGCGGGGAATCCCCCGCCAGTCGATGTCGCGGAAGATCCCCTGGCTGGGCCTTGCAGCGGATCTGCTTTAGCACCCACGCTTGACTGGCTGTACTATTTGACCCCTACTCAGCTTAGCAGTAGGGTGGTGTTAGCATTTGGCTGGTGGCTTACCTAAATCTCTTGATGCTACGGCTTCGCTAGCTGCCCTTGGCATAGTTTCACTTGTTGGCCTTGAGGCTGCCAACGTTGAACGGAGAGCAAAGCTGTCGTTAATGCCGCCGCTTTCCCCACCTTCTCTGTTTCTTCCATCCTCCAAAAATAAGCCTTGCTAGCATGCATCCCCTGTCTCAGCTCTGGTGGTGCGGCGTTGCCGGCTCCTGTTCTTGCCTGACCACATACAAACGAAAGCTACGGATTGCTTCCTTTGATCAGATCGACGACAGGTCATTGGATATCAGCTTCAGACCAATCTCGTTATTACTTGCGAGGTGTTGGACGTCGTTCATTGCGTGATAGGCCACTGCCTGGAATCACCCTGCGTATCTTGGCAGCTTTTGGCTGCTAACCCTAAGCCGAGGCGCAGATGTCAAGGTCCACAACAGAAACGGATGCCAGTCTAACGTGGGAATCCTGCTCATGAAACTGGTTGGGAATATCGAGATTGGTGCCGTGCGAAGAGTGATGGTAGATTGCCAGCTCATCATCTTTGCAAACATCCTTGGTATATCGGACTTAACATCAAACCGCTTCCCAAGTATCAGACGCACCCGGAGGAGAAAGGCCGACCCGATGCAACCACGATATGCATGTACCCTGCATGGTTGAGGCGAAAATTGGTATCTGTGCACATGGCTTGATTGTGACCAGTCAGAAATATAACCGACCATGGCGCGGACCCATGCGTCGTATGCTTTCTTGCGCCACAATGCAGTTAACGAGGTGATTCTCTGGTTGCTTTCCGGTGGTGATTTGCCCAAGCACACACGAACTTGCGCGCGGGTCAGTGTCTCGACTTGGTTTTCTCCTCAAAGATTGCCTGCAAGAGCTGGAGCACCCAACAGCAATTCCGCACTCGCCAGGCCGCACTAGCGCTGGTGACTAGCTGGCGGCGGAAGCTATGGTCATTTTAAATCGTGCAAGATGTGAATCCTATAGCCAGACGCTATCGAGGCGCATCGATAGAACGTCACTCGTCCACGGAGGCCGCTGGAGATTCAAGGTTGCAACCCGCACACCAGGCCCGAATCCCATCACGCCTCAATCCCAACGGAGTGGGCGACCGGACCCATACCTTGTATCTCGAACCGGCCATGGGTGGACGATTGGACGACTCTAGTGGGGCGGTTGAATTTCGAGTCACACAGCCCGAGACAATGTTGACCTAGTGTCGACTTTGAGTCAAGATGAATCCTAGGGAGTGGCTCCGGTGTATCCGCGCACCTGCTGGAAGCTATCCCCTCCTGCGCTATTGATGGAGTTAGGTTCTTTGCGCCTGAATTCTCATCGAGGAGGGATCGATCAATCTGGGCCGGGATGCTGGATATCAGCGCGTGTGATCGAGCCGCTTTGATCAGATCATCAAAGCGCTTCCCATCTCCACAATCTCTCTGCTCGATGGACCGCGGGTCCTTGCCTTCGCTCGGTCCACACTCCGAACCTAGAAACGGCACTCGGAGAATGTTGAGCATGAAAACCCCCGCTGCCATGCGGTCTTCGAAACCACGGTATTCCCTGCTCGCCCCTGGTTGAAAGGAGGTGGGCCACTGGTTCTGGACAGCTTACATGCGTAAGGAGCGAGATGTCCAATATTGTCTTGCATTGGCGAAAGCGCTTCGTACGCTGACGCAATGAGCAGTCTCCTCAAACGTGGGCATGGACAGACGAGTCGTACATCACGGTGTGGCTCGGTGACCCGGTTTTGGATGAACAAAGTTAGATTCGCGCAGTTTCGATTCTAGGCAGTCCTTCACCTGAACTACTTTCTCACGCTCCCTCCTGCAATTGTAGCAGATGGCTGATGCCTGGTGGTTCTAACCCTTCTCCGTAGCTGTGGCCAGAGCGGTACCTGCCTCTGGTGCTAACTACCGTATGTGAGAGATATCCCCAGACCCCCCCACCACCACGAGAGCACCGTGCGCTAGTTTTTCGTGTGCCTGCCTATGATCGGGCTGAAGTAATGAAGTTGGTGGATTGGTGTACACACCTAAGCCGCGGTACTGCTCCGTACCTGCCATCCAGACCTGTGCACCAAAGCCACACGCACATACATAACGATGAAGGGTACGTAACAGACATGCACGCGTGCATACATACCCTCCTGCCCCAGCCTGCATATGCTTGGCTAGACTAAACTACAGGCCCCTACCTCAGACTACGTGTTGTTCGAGAGATAATGCAGGAACTTTGGTGGGCAATGACATGCTTTCAGCTCTTTATTTGTGCGCCCTTCATGCGTAGCTGCAAGCTCGTGTCGGGCATAATGTACGCACGCAGGGAGCTAGGCAGGTACCTCGATCTCAGCATGCGAGTACTTCGGCCGCAGGTTTCTCCGTACTGGCATCTCCCGTTGTCTGTCAAAAAAAAATATAGGCAGATGGGGGCGACGGAAAGAGGACGATGCGGCAAGCGCTAGGCAGAGACTCTCGAGAGAGGCAGGTGCCCGATCCGCTGATGGCTCCTGCCTGCTAGTCTGCTGGACGTTCTGAGGGCGTACGAGTAAGTGCTGCAGGCAAAACTTCATTCGGTGCTGGGGTTTGGGCTAAGGTGAGAAGTGACTTATCAACCGGACTAAACGAATTGAGTGTTACGGGTCACCCCTCCCGAGATGGATCTGCAGCTTTACTGCAAGATCAACTTCCCTCTCCCATTCCGCCCCGTTCTTCTCGAAAGCTGTCTCTCTTCTGCAGCCAGTGTCACATCCTGAGGCCGCCACTGGGGCCCGTACAGCTTGCAGGAGGGCTAGAATGTGTCAGTTTTCAGTTTCGCTTGCCGTCTCGTATGGCCCAGAGACGCCGGTTTCTAAGCGAGCTGTTGCAGCCAAAAACATTGGCAGCCCTCCATCTCCACCCGCTTGTAACATGTTGCTGGGAAAGCATGTCGAGGGAATTAACCCCGGGGCTTGCGCCATGGCCACCCTCCAGTCTGTCCTCCTAGGCAGAGACGGGAAGTCGCCCTCCGCCACCACAGCACCGATGAGACTATCTAATTTTTCCTGTCAATGTTGATGTGGAGGACGCTGGTGCAGGCGCATGGATTCCTCTGTTCCAGCTCTGCCACACGCAGTACGGTACGAGCCTGAGCGGGTTCAATAGCCCAGGGTCAAGACGCTAGTTGGTCCAACTGGATCTCTGCCAGGGTGGATGCCCGCTCAACTTCGCAGCAGGCACATTACTCGCAACCTCGAGACCACCCGCCAATGGCCGATCACTATCACGACCTCTGTTACTTCGGGGCTTTGGACCCCTTCATTGGTCTTAGCCGCCGAGCCTTGGGCCTGTCCCCAGCAGGCAGCTTAACCAGAGACGGCCATGACAACGGTGACACCTATCAGTGAATCACATACTGCATCCACTGGACAAGGCTCGCTAGCTTGTCTGCCAGCCCATGGGTCCAGCTCAAGTTGCTCAACCACGCATGCTTCATGGGGTCCGAGGGCGTCTGTGCTGAGATCAGCCTGGACGTGTATATAGCGAAATGGATGACCACGCTAGATGTGCAGGTCCGGACAGTAGCCATGCCGTATGACCCTACAGTACCAGAGTCCCTCACCGATCGAGACCCTTCAGCCCGTTCTGTGGCTAATTCTTAAGGAGCCAAAGAAGAAAAGAGCTGGTCGGGTCATCTGCACCTTTCCATTGGCTATAAGAGCTGTGAGTCCGCTGCGGCGTCGTTGTCCCCTCCCGAGGAGAGGCCCAACCGTTTCCTGATATGATGGCCGCCCCAGCCAGCCTTCCTCCCCACAGGCCAGACAAAGAGTACTCTTTTCTTGAAGCTCTCAACATCGGGCCTACAAGCGAGCTGTCCCTCGTATCCCAAGAGAAGCTTGGCCTTTCACCAACTCCCAAATCTCCTGCTAAGACCGTGAGGTCACCACCTCTACCTCCTTTGCCCTCTCATCCCACCCCCAGTCCCGTCGGGCCGGACTTCAACGTTACCACACCGACCAAATCTGAGTTTGCCAGCCCTAAGCAAAATCTGGCGACCCCTCGGCCAACCGGGCATCACTCTTTGTTCCCCCACACCAATACTTACGGCAAGAACGTCGACGAAGTCAAAGGCGCCAACACCAGCAAAGGCGACAGCACCAGCAAAGGCGCAAGTACCAGTAACGGCGTTAAGCCTGTCACTGAGGCCGCTGCCATGGCTCCTTCCATCAAGGCTCAGGCGCAATGCCTTGAGTCCTGCACCAAAGTCACCAAGGCCGGTGACCGAATTTCTGTTCGAATGCTCGAGTACCTCACATCGATTAAGCAGACTCACATGCCCCATGGGCTCGACGATCTCGCCCACGGCTTCCTTTCGACATGCCAAGTTCTTCTAACCATCGAGGCTGGCCTGGAAGAATGCACCCGTGTCCACCAATTCTTTCCCGGAGAGCTCCTTGCAGAGTTGGACAAGAAGTTCCGTGTGTGCTTCGCTGATTTCCAGGTCTTGGAGAACATGCTCTCGAGAGTCCTCGAGTCGGAACGTAAGAGTCACGGCGCGATGGGCAAGATGAAGCGTGGATTGAGAAACCTGTTTGGAGATACAGATTTCAGCAAGATTTCCTCGGCGCTTGAGCAAACGAGAGAGAGCCTGAGGGTCAGCGCTCTGATGTTCCAGTGGAGTCTAGGAGATGATAAGATCGAGAGCGGAGCTGGTATTGGCTACACTGGTCTTGCAGCCGCGTTGGATAGACTGGACCAGAAGAGATCGAGCACTCGCTCAAGATCTGAGACGAATAGCTCGCACCATAACCTGCCTGCTCTTCGTCAACAAGAGCAGCCTCCGCTGCCTCCGATTCCTGCCTTGCAGTGGGCTGAGCGTTCAACCTCCCTCCAGAATGATACCATGATGTCCTCCGACATTCGATCACCAATCAGTGATTTGCGCCAGTGGAGCGCCACGGCTAGTTCCGTTCACTCTGGCGACCGCCATAACCACCAAGCCGCCTTTGATCGCCTCAGTTCTTTCGACGAGACGATGTCGCACCATACTGGAAGCGACTCGGCTGTCAATGATGCTATAAACGAGGAACTTGCTGCCCTCGACTTGGGCTCAGACAAGGTCGTCCGGTTAAAGACCGACCCTTTCACGATGCCTCGATGGAATCCTCGTGCTAGCACAGGAAGCACGGATGGGGCCACGCTGAAGAGTGCCCTCGCCTCCGCAATCCGTGCCAGGAACCACAAGCTCGTCGAGCAGCTCCTGGATAGAGGTGCTCCCGCCAACAGTTCTGATATTCACGCCCTTATCGAAGCTGTTAAGGTGCAGGATGTCGAAAGCGTTCGCCTGCTTCTCCTATTCGGAGCAGACCCCAATGAAACCGACCGAGAGGGTATGACTCCTCTGGCTCTCGCTGTTGAGAAGACACTGCTGGGCGCCGCCGTGACTCTGCTCAAGTACGGAGCGGACCCTAACATGAAGGCTGGCATGGATCAGGACAGCCCCGTCGCTCGTGCGATCCAGAGCAACAAAGTCAGCCTTGCTCATTTGCTACTAATGTACGGTGGCGATGTCACCCAATTAAACTCGGAGGGCAACACAATGCTGATAAGCGCGGTCAACAAGAAGACGCCTCGCCAATTCATCGCACTCCTCTTGGGATACGGGGCAAACCCTAACGAGAAGAGCCGAGAGGGGAAGACGGTGCTCTTCGAGGCCATTACAAGCGCTCGCGACGACATCGTCTCTTGTCTCCTGGAGAATGAGGCTAATCCCAACCTCCCAGGTCCCAAGCACATGTTGTGGCCTGCCACTTACCAGTCTCCTTGCCTCCAACTGTTGTTGAAACATGGCGCTGATTACAAAAAGGCTCCTGGTATTATGGAGCTCGCAGCTAGTGTCAATAACATCGAGTCGGTTCGCATCCTGCTCAAGGCCGGGGTTGACCCCAACGCAAAGAAGGATGGGACCTATACTCCTCTCTGTACTTCTATCCGAGACAACCGTCCCGATATCTTCCACCTGCTTCTAAATAACGGTGCAGACCCCAACACGCCAGCACTTGAATACCCCTGCTTCAAGTGCATTACGCACAATCGGCTTCAATTCTTGCCGGCCTTGGTTGCGGCAGGCGGAAACCTGAACAGCCCGAAGGGTATCTTGGAGACCGCCGTTGCTCAAAATTACATGGAAGCTGTTCTTTGGCTTTTGGACCAGGGCTTGGACCCCAATGAGCGAAACTCCAAGGGCCATTCGCCCCTGACAACGGCTATTCGCGACAACCGTGTTGAGCTCGTCGATCTCTTGATAATGCGTGGCGCTGACCCCAATAAGCGCGGCGAGGACTGGCCAGTCTGCATGGCTGTCCGAAACCCACCTATTTTAAAGCGCATTCTTAACGTCCTGGCTGAGCCCCGCGCTTTCAAGGGTGTTATTGAGCGGGCCGTAGCTGCCGACCAGCTAGAGTCAGTCAAGCTACTCCTTGCTGCCGGCGTTTCAGTTGAAGATAAGAATGGTGGTGTCTTCTCTCCTCTTACCACTGCTTTGCGCGAAAACCATCGAGACATTGTCAGATTTCTTGTTGACCCCAATGGCGGTGGTGCCGATGTCAATGCCCCTGGTGAACATCTGCCTGTTGTCAAGGCTCTTCGACGATTCCATGGCGAGGATTCGGTGATGCTTGAAGTACTGTTGGAGCATGGTGCTGACCCCAACAAGATGTACCGCGGATGGAACGGTATCTTCCAGGCCGTCGAGAATGGCGAGTTGGAGGTGCTCCAGATCTTGAAGGACAAGGGAGGAGGCTTTGACCTCGACGCCAAGGACGAGATGGGCCGCACCGCCATTGAGATGGCAAGCCAGCGAGGATGGGATGAGGGAGTGCAGATACTCCGCGAAGGACGACGGAAGCAGTAGACATGCTGCAAGGTTTACACACGAAAGGTTTAAACGAGATGAAGAAGAGGTCTATATACCCAACTAATGAGACTTCTCATGTAATAGTGTTGATGTAATAACATTGGAGGAGCACACACGGGACAATCATTTGTCAATTTCGAATGGAGACTTGATATTTTTTCTTTTTGTCAGATTATCTACTTTACGTTTGGTTTCATAGCTTCCCTTCGTGGTATATATTTTCGTCATACCCGATGAGAAATTGGTCTGCGGGCAGAAGTTTACACTCTCAATACACGAGTTCAAATGAGCGCAAGTTTTCAGCCAGTCTCATTTGCCTGCGTCTTTTTTATCTTATTCTTTTCCCATTGAGTGATCTTGATTAGTCTCTTACTTTTTGTATCAAGTTTCAAGTGACTTGTAGAAGAATGTGACGTCTTTGAACTCCCCAGACGGACTGAGCCCATACTTTGGTATCCTGCCGACCTCAGTATACCCGAGTTTGCTGAAGACAGACTCGGCCAGGCTGCCAGACTCTGTATCCAAGGTCTGGAGGTTGCCGCTACAATGTTAGCCATGCACTCACTGTACGCAGTCGGGCTCGGGGTGGAAGAAGAAGGGGAAACAGATCACACACCAGCATAGTCCTCCCTCGCTTGACGGCCTCCCTCTCCAGGGCGTCGACCAGGGCGGTGGCGCCGCCGCGGGCGCGGTAGGAAGGGTGGACGAGCAGCTTCTCGACGACGGCGCGGAAGGAGCTGGTCTCGGAGGGCGGCATGTCCAGCATGACGATGCCCACGAGGTTGGTGCCCTTGGGGACGGCGGGGTGGTGCTGATGGTGGTCTAGTAGGCCGTTGCTTGCGGTGGCAGGGTCGCCGTCGTCGGCGCGGACGAGGAGGAGGAGCAGGCGGGTGCCGGCCGAGACCTCGGCGATGCGGTCCTTCCAGTAGGCGAGGAGCTTCTCGTGGGAGAGCGGGGGGATGAAGCTGGCGATGGTGCGGTCGTGGGTGATGCAGGAGGCGTGGATGGCGGCGAGGTAGGGGATGAGCGGGGTGTGCTGGCCTGGGGTGAAGAGGATGACGGAGGAGGAAGAAGAAGAGGAGGAGGAGGAAGAGGCCATGGTTTAAGGATCGTGAGGAGGCGGAGCGGGTGGCTGTTTGAGTTGCATGGGGGCGTTGATGGGAGGGTGTCTCTGTCGTTGGGTGTTGTATGAGATGGACGGTGTGTGCTTGTTTGTATTACTGGGCGCGGTGATGATGCGCCAACTACTAAATAGGGACTGGACCTGGGGACAATTCCTCTCTGAAGGTTGTCTCTTACTTTTCCTTTTCCTCTAGTAAAAGGAACGAACGAATGAAGAGGGAAAAGGAAATAAATTTAATAAGGGAAAGAATGCGAGGTGTTGGAATAAGAAGTGTGACTGGCAAGCGAAATGTTGGCAATTGGGGGGCATTTGCGCCTAAAAAGGCGATGAAGATCAGGCTGTTGTAGCTCCGAAAACCTAGATGTGCATGCGAACGTCTGCTTCCGAGAGTAAGTGAACATGATTATAGGAAGGAGACAAATGAAAATCAATTCGAAATACGTGAATGCTGGTCGCTGATCATCCCACCATGGATTTATCATTTGCGATTCTCTGGTCAGGCCGGCCTTGGTTCAGTTCACAGCAGAGATCTATCTGCCCGACTGACTTTTATGAAGTGAGTGAGACGGACACACAAATCCCACAGAGTATGACCGACCGATATGAGTGCATTGGGTTCACAAAATGTTGCGCTAGAAAGACAGATATTAATTTGAGTTTAAACAACAATGAGCCATCCTGGAGCTCTCAGTTCGCTTGACGATACCCCGCCATGGCTCACGTACGTCTGTCAGCGATGTTTGCTGTCATCGCATGAGATGAAGGGAGGACGCCAAACATTTCGGGTGCAATCCGCACCATTTACAACTACAGAGAGAATGAGTAATCATCAGTTAGCTTCTCAGGCAGCGTGATCTAGGTGATTGACTGCTCTGTAGGATCAACGTAACCCAATTGCTGGCGCGGGCTTGTTGATATCATGCTACTTTGCTTCACTCGTCTCCCAATTGGCGATGGGCCTGTAGATAAGCCTAAAGGAATGGCCAATGTAAGCCGCATAATGCCGGGAACTGCTGCCATCGACCAACCATGCATAGACGCCCATGAACTTCGGTCACAGCAGGTGGCACAAGCAGCTGCTTGAGCAAGACAGACGAATCCGCCCCCACTTCTGGCTCGTCTCATCTCAGCTCACATCTCTCGTTTCGGCGCGACCGCTGCTGCGTCTCCCACCATCAGTAGAGAATATCAATTGTCGAATTTCTCTGTCTCCCCTCAATCCAGTACCCCTTTCCCGACTCATCCGGCCCCTCGGGTGACGAGACAGGCATCTCTGTAGCAGTAGAACGAGGACAAGAGTTGAGCAGCCCAGTGAAGATCAAGGCACACGACACACTCAACACTACACGTCAACGCCATGGAGTCGATCTTTAAGAAGGTCGAAGAAGGGGTCGACGCTGTTTTTGGCAATGAGAAGCACTCCCATTCCCACTTCGGCTACGAGTGCGAGCACCTTCATCCGGACGAGGAGACTGTCAATCGCTATCACTCCTTTGCCCCTCCCTCAAGCGGGAACGCAAAGTGGTACGTCGACGGATGCTCATACTTCTGGGCAGTCTCGGAAGCCCTTGAACGCAAGTAAACCCTCTCTAGGCCGCAGCTCCACCCGAAACTGACCGTATCCGCCTGCTTCCTAGGAGCCCAGGAGGAGATCTTGATTCTGGACTGGTGGCTGAGCCCCGAGCTGTATCTACGCCGTCCGCCATCCCTGAACGAGCAGTATCGTCTTGATAACATGCTCAAGGCTGCTGCCGAGCGTGGAGTGAAGGTCAACGTCATCGTTTACAGGGAGGTCGAGGCTGCCCTCACCTGTAACTCTCAAGTACGAGGCCACTCTAGCCCGGGTCCAACCCAGTAACTGGTACCAGGCCTCACAACGCTCATACTTTGTCATTGTTCATTTAGCATACCAGAAAGGCACTGGAAGCCTTGCACCCGAATATCTCCGTCTTCCGACACCCAGACCACACGCCTACCGGTTATGATCTCGTCTCTGAGCTCGGGTCTAGTCTTGCCCACCTCACCAACTTTGATCTCGCCAAGGCATCAGATGAGGCTTTGAAAGCCCTCTATGGAACTGCTGATGGCATGGTTCTGTTTTGGGCCCACCATGAGAAACTCATCGTGGTAGATCGCAAATTGTCGTTCATGGGTGGCCTCGACCTTTGTAAATAACACCCGCTGTTCCCGTCATTCCTCAGAGTATCGGTAGCTAACACTATTTCTAGGCTTCGGGCGATGGGATACTAGTTGTGAGACTCTCTTGGCACTAGCAATATATTCCTTGGGTTTACTAACTGGTTGAACCTGTGATATAGCTCACCCTATTGCCGATGCTCATCCCGGCAACTTGGATGCTATCGTGTTTCCTGGACAGGACTACAACAATGCTCGGGTGTATGATTTCCATGACGTCGGAAACTGGAACCAGAACAAACGTGAGATTTATGTCTTGACACCCTGTCTTCCACCCGGCTAATCGCAGTTTGCCGCCACCAGTTGACCGCACTAAGAGCTCAAGAATGGGATGGTCAGACGTTGCTCTGAGCATGACCGGCCCCATCGTAGACAGTCTTGTGGCTCACTTCGCCGACAGATGGTATGTGAGACCGGCCAGGCAGGAGAGCCCTAATGAGAGGAGTCTAGCTGTACTTACACATCATCCAGGAACTTCATCTGGCAGGAAAAGTACAAGTCTAAAAACGCAGGAAAGTACAGCCTTCTCACTGTTAAAGGCATTAACCAAGACGAGGACGACTCTACCCTCGATCACCTCACCAATAAGTTCAATCGTGGCATGAGTAGACTGATGCACTTTGGAAGTGATGATGACGACGATGAAGATCGCCCGTCACGCGGTCCTAATGGCCAGGCCACTAAAATCCAGCTCACTCGAAGGTACGTAAACAGAGATTGCAAAGAAATCCACAACCCTTAAAGACTCTTGTTAAAACCGCGGCTAATTCACGTCGACAGCTCCTGCAAGTGGTCGTCCGGACACAAGGTTGAACACTCGATCGCAAACGCCTATATCGAAGCCATCACCAATGCCGAGCATTTCGTATATATCGAGAACCAGGTAATGCGAATAGCTCCAGACCCTACAAACAAACCACTCTACTCACAAGGGCAAAACAGTTCTTCATCACAGCAACCTGCGACAAGCAGCTCCCCGTAGCCAATAAGATCGGCGCCGCCATGGTTGATCGCATCATCCGGGCCAACGAGGAGGGCAAGCCGTTCAGGATCTGGGTCGTCATGCCCGCCGTGCCGGCCTTCGCGGGAGACCTCGAGTCCGAGGGCGCGCTGGGAACCCGCGCCATCATGGAGTTCCAGTACTTCTCCATCAGCCGAGGGGGCAACAGCATATTCGAGAAGCTGCGCGAGGCGGGCATCAACCCGGGCGACTACATCGGCTTCTACAACCTGCGCAACTTTGACCGCATCAACACCTCCAGGACCATGCACGAGGCCGAGGAGCGCGCCGGCGTCGCGTACGAGGACGCCCGCAAGGGCCACGACGGGTACGTGGGCGGCGCGTACGGCGAGGGCGAGGGCGAGCACGCGGACGAGTACAGGAGGTACCAGCGCGAGGCGGCCGCCGTCGGGGACACGACCCTCGACACCATCAGCTCCTGCTACATGGACAGCGGCGCCCGCGTCTCGGAGCTGCGCTGGGACGGCAACCCCGAGGACGAGATCGGCGCCTTCGTCAGCGAGGAGCTCTACGTCCACAGCAAGCTCCTCATCGCCGACGACCGCCTCGTCATCTGCGGCTCCGCCAACCTCAACGACCGCTCCCAGCTGGGCACGCACGACTCCGAGATCGCCGTCGTCATCGAGGATCCCACCCCCGTCGAGAGCCAGATGGCCG